TAGATGTTAGATACTAGGTTGTACCTTCCTTGTCGATTGTTTCAAGTAATGGATAAGATATTATTAACTTGTGAAAGAGAGAGAGAAACAATTTTAATAAATTGAATTGAATTATATATTATATATTTAATACATACTTCTTTTTACCGTGAACAGTTCTGCATGAAATTTACGCTTACTAATTTTTCACTCTCTCTATATTTTAAATCAAGTTATAAGTTATATATTACCCCCTTAAACTTTGCATTAAGGGAGACGACACAAGAGAAGAGAAAGAGAGAGATGTACTTTCCAAATTTTCTCATATATACTCTATTTAGCACAATAGTGCATTAAGTGATAACAATATTTATACTGTTTCTAATCATTATGTAATATGTTACCTTAATTATCATTTACTGATTATGATTAGTATTATACATTATTTATTACACAATAAGTATATATATGCATATACATATGTATATATGTATATGTATGTATGAATGTATGTATAATCTGTGATTTTATTTTTTGATTTTTATTTAATAGTTTGCCTATTAATCAACTATGTTGTTACATCGATATTTTACGATATGAGTTATCAATTTCACAATTTCATATTCTAATGTTAAATTAAATTTTAAAATATTATAACGAAAAGTTTTGATTTATTTAATATATTTAAAAAAATTATATGTATATGATTGTTTTCTTTTATAGATAAATGTTTATTTTTTAATTTTGTTTGTTTGAGAGTTCTTTCTTATTTTATATACCTTATTTATTTATAACATGTTCTGCAATTTTTAAAGAGAATTGGAAAGTATTTCTTTCTGATGATTATACAACCGTTTTTCTTTCATACATTGTATACGTTTGACTTTTCTATCGCGCATACGGTATATATAACTGCTATTTAAGAACTGTATTGCAATTTAACAAAAAAAAAAATATATTACTGCAATGTATTCCTAATCTTTTGTCCAAAGATATAGAAATTATAACTTCATAATAGACAATACCGCATCTATGTAACATGTTATTAATTGTAAGACACTTAAACAAAATCATAGATAAAAATAAGAAACCATAATATAGATAATATCTACCAGAGCTAATGTCATTAGCAGTGACATAAATGTGAAATACAAATGATTGTGGTTTACAAATTAATGTACCGTGATCCTTATATACGTGGAACTAATTGTGGGATTAATTTCCAAGATGAATTTAGAGTCCCTGCGTATGAGAAATTTATAAAGTTCACTACATTCAATGGTTATAAATATGAGTACCTTCTAAGAGTTTAAGTTTCTTACGAAGAACCGGATTAACACGAGACATTTGAAGAGTTTTACAACTTTCGAGATCGATTTTACGATCAATTGCGAAATTTATATTACCAATCGATTCTACTCTATTTGTATTCCCTAATGACATCTCCACTTCCGTAAAAGCACAAATTTTATAAAAGACAACAAAAAGATTTTCAAGTTAACAATACAATCACAAGATGTAAGCGAATGTATTTCGACCGGATTTTTTTTACGTTTCTCTCCGTTGATAGACACGCAGATCGACGTATTATAATAAGCACAATATTGTCGAGTATTCTTCGAACGAATGTACAAGAAAGGCAAAAAGGTCGAAGTTAAGCAATACGGGCGATGCTATGCAAGAGAATATTGGCACCTTACATGTGAATTACGTATACGCATCAGAATCACCGTTTTATCATGCGTAAAAAAGATCTGTTACTATGCACATCAGTTCGAATTACTCGTCGTCAATTATTTACATTTTGCTTTCTATTTGGATGAAAAGTCTGTCGAACTTTCAATGACCGGCTGTTACAGAGAAATCAGACGAGACACGTGTGATTTGATAATATATATTTTCGTAAAAGTAGCTGAGAGAAGAAACGTAGATTATTCTTCTTTGAGAATAGTTCACCAAGCCCAATATTCGTTATTTTTGAAAAAAGAAATATATCCCAAAAGGGATTATGAATGTTTAAACAACAAAGTAAATGATTAAGTTGTGCGAAAATTGTAGAAAAATATATCAGTTATTATATGACAGTATACACATAGCATAAACCACAAATCGCAATGGCATTATCATTGTAAGTTTAAAACTATGATTTCTAGTCATACACATAAGTATGTAAAACGGATTTGTGTTTTCACCTGACAAAATTTTACTTCATTACACATTTAGCAAAGTATTTACGATTATTGTGAAAATACATTTACGGAGTATCACACAGCTTTTTGGATACAGTTTATTGTTATAGTTTATCAAAGGAATAAAAATACTTTTCAAAGACATTCTACATTGTACTGTTGTTATACTAGAATATAAATTGTTTGCGAGTATAATACATTGTGGTTTTAGCGTGTTGTCGTATGCAAAAGTTCATAGTAATTTATTATGCAGATGAATTTCTGACGAAATAGTGCGTAATTTTTATGTTTTTAAAGATGCACATACTCGTCTTCTTTTAATATATTTTATATATGGCATATAATGGTATAACAACCGTACAATTCTTCCGTAAGAATAGTAATCTGCGATAAGCGATTATTTCATTAATAACATTGTGTATTAGCAAATTATATTTTCACAATATTTTTTTAAATAGCGTACGAAGGAAATTCTTTCCTTAATGATACTGCACCTACGTCACTAGATTCATACGATTGCTATCCACTAAGATGGATTCAAATAGTGTAATAAGAGAACTGTGCATTATACAGTTAGTGATTTGAAATTGTATATAAGCAGAATAGAGAAAAGCATCTAAAGATATCTATTGCTTAAAATTGTACGATAAGAAATAGATCTTAGAGAGTAATATATAAATATATACATAAAACACATTGTAATACCCGATATACGACGGATGTGTGAATTTGCACGAGTGTGTATATGCGCGTATGCGAGTACATTCGCCATCCCGGCGCATAGGAATTATACATGTACACATATAATATATTATTATATATACCAATCACATATTATACAAATATAAATATATAAATATATGTAGTTAAAGAGAGAGCGACTGTTAGTTGATATTCGTATAACATTGTATAGTAGAAGAGAAAATTCTGATTGGTATAATTATATTGAATGAGCCAAAGCTGTAAGAAATCATGTTTATTTAAGTAATAAGGGAAATATAATAATTTATCGAATGTCATAATGTAAAACTTTGTTGCGGATACTTTGTGCTACTAAACTGCAAGACTACTTTCTTTTTCTTCTAGAGAATCTGTCACTTTTTTCGTCGAAAGAAAATTTCAATGTCTTATTGTTAATCCTTCCGTTTTTATTGTAACGATCAGTGTACGCGAATAACAGAATAGCATACAAAACTGAATGTATATTAACATTAAGAAAGTCAATTCAATGTCTTGCCTTTCGATGGATTTTCCCTGAGAATGTAATCTTTTCTCACTGAAGTTTCGGACTAAATACGGAAATTCTACAGGATCGGTAACTTTTTCGTTTATCTAGAAAATAGTGGTCGCGAGATTATACTGGCTCAAGTGCCGTAACAGCAAAGAGAAAACAAATTCTAAAGACAGTAAATTATTGTATTTCATTAAGCCAAATAAGACCATAACGTATTATATAATTTACAAGATAAGTATATTCTAAATGTACGAAATAAAGTTGTGTGTATTCAAGAAAAAGAGTGTCATTCCTAAGAATTTGTCGAATGTAGGAAGATCTTCTCTTTTCGTTGTTTCCTCAAATTTCGAGCAAAAGTAGATAACATACGAACAGCTTAGTATCCTCTCCCAAACAATTATAAACGTTTATAAATGTTTTTACATATAGAGGAAAGTCCCCTATTATGAGATAGGATTCTAATGTGAGATAGTAGATTTTCAACGTCCACATTCAATCGCAATCTTTTTTCGCAACGATTGCACGATCTAACAATTAATTTTCCAGTGAACAGATTTCACTCCAAGGGCAATAAATTCATGGTGGAACCAACAGTTGATGCCTATTAATTTAGCAGAAACTCCGCTACCTTAGATTAGGAGCCTATCTCATAATAGGGGACTTTCCTCTAAGACCAAGTATAATATTTTAAGACGAATATAATTCCCCGTTATTCTGTATTATTTTATGTATCATATAGTTGTGCTTCAAATATTACACCTCTTTATGTATTCTTTATTTTATTAATTTTATTTGTCAAATAAAATATTTAATTGTTATTAACATTTTATCTTTATTTTGTAATTATTAATTGCTGATGCATATATTAAATTTATTTCGATTCTTTATTTTTCTACCCTTCATGTTTTTCACGTTATTCACTTTATTAACATAATAATAATTTATAAAAATTAGTATAATAATTAATTTATCTTCAAATCTCGCTTATCTTCGACCAAGCGGTAATATACCGATTGATTAGATATCAGTTGATAATAATATTGTTATTAATATTACGACATGAATTAAAATTGCAACATTATTTATTCAACAGATGGCGTTTGTTGTTTATTTGATACTAAATAATTACGGGCTAATCTTCTCAATCTATTATGCAGCTTATTATTTTTTTGTATCGTAACTGACAATGAGTGCTAAAATGAGCAAATATATTTGATTAATTATCTCATGAATCTAAACTAACGTCATTATTTCTATTCGTTAATTTTATTAAGATAATAATTACTTATTCAACAGAAACTCTTATAGGAATTGAGAAGTTTAATGAGATTATAGATGCACATTGAACACATGTGTCATAAAGATTGTCCGAATTTTAAACAGAAAATGATCAATAACAATCCGATAAAATACAACAGCTATTACATACTGATATGTAATAGCGTGTACAAAAAAACCCCTCAATGTTTGAATCGATCAAGAGATTGCTGGTTGATATACGAATCGGACGAATGATCGATGTTTGCCACCAAGAGTTTCTTTCCATCCCTCTTCGCGCAAGTAATTTGTATGGAGGAAAGAAAAAGGAAGGAGAGGGAAAAGAAAAGCGAGAACAGGCGCGACATATTTTGCGACTCCTTTCTTTTCGTCGCGGTGTCTGAGGCGCGACGATTAGATAAGGCTACAGTTCATAGTACGTCCGAGATGCAGACCTCATAAGAGACCGGGGTGCTCGAGGCCCAGCCTCAGTTAAAGCTGCGTGTGCAAACCGACAATTAAAGACGGGACGAGTAGTTTCTCCGCGATTGTTGTCGGCATAGCGCCCTAATTTTCGTGTATGTTGTGTCACTTCTATCGCTACATCCGCTTCCGACGAGAAAAAGAGATCTTCTATTCGCGATCGACTCTCGGGGAGAACGATCTCGCGCCTCATCCTTCTCTTCCTTCGCTGAAATAACCGACAGTTATTTCCCAAGTCCGAGGTATGAGTCCTGGGTACAAGGATTTCTACCGATCGGCTGGGCCCCGCGATTCGTAACCCTCTCGGACGGGGTTTCCAAGAGCGAAACACCGAACGGGAAACAAAGATGCCCGCCTGCTCGAGCGAGAGTTCGTCCAGATTATGGTCCTCCAGCCCGCCGATGTCGCGAAGTAGCAGCGCGTCGCCGTCGCTACCCGGCACACCGTTGTCCACATCGCCACCCCGAATGTCGCCCGTGTCCATGTTGAAGCGCACGACGTCGAACGTGATCGTGTCGACGTCCAACGCGCCGATCAATCTCTCCCGGGCATCGTCGCTCTCGAGTATGCCGACGGTGATCCTGTCCCTGAGACGACAGCAGCAGCAGCAACATCAGCAAAGGACATTAGCGGCGGATAGTCGGAACGTCGAGCGGAGCAGCGACTCCATACTGTCGAGGATCATGTTTTGGTACTTCGGACTTCTGTCGGGGCTACTTCGGGGTGTTTTCAACGTCATCGGCTACGCGATCTGGGCGCCTGCCCTCTGGGCGTCCGCCTGGGTCTGCTTGTTCTGGGTGATTTTACAACTGCCGCTGACCGCTCTCAAGTGGTTCATCACCGTGCTGCACACCCCGGCGTACGAGAGATCGCGCAACAAGCGGTGCGTGTTGATCAGTGGTGGTAGCACGGTACAGGCGGTGCATCTGGCGCGTAATTTCTACAAAGCCGGCGCTCGAGTGGTGGTGTGCGATCTCGAGGGCCTGTTTGGCCTGGCTAGATTCTCCACTGCCTGCTCCAAGTATTACACGATACCGCGGCCCGGGCCCAGAAACGTCGTCGAGTACATAAAGGCGCTGCGTGATATCGTCCAGCGCGAGCGGGTGGCCTATTATATACCGGTGAGCGCCGCCAGCACCGCGTACTACGACGCCCTGGCGAAGCCGCACCTGGAGATCATGGGCTGCGAGTGCTTCGTGCCCGATGCCAGCGAGGTAACCGCGTTGGACGACCCGTTGGAGCTGCTGCGCCGCTGCCGCATGCTCGGCCTTCCGACTCCGCAGCACTTTCTGCTGCGATCGATGCAGGATCTGTCCGCGCTCTACGAACGGAACGCATTCCGCACCGGCAGGTACATGATGCTAGCCGCTGGTCCCGCGGGGATGCGCGATCGCGCCAAGATCCTATTACCGCCCACCGTCAGGGAGTTCCGGAATCAGCAGCACGAGATCAGCGAGAGGCGACCGTGGGTGGTGACCCGCGATCCCGGCGGAGATCACTTCATCACCTGCACCACCCTCAAGGATTCACGGATCGTGGCGAACGTGACCTGCCGAGTGGACGAGGACCAGGGCCTCATTCCCGAGGAACGCCCGGAGGTCATGCGGTGGCTCGAGCAGTTCTTCGCCCGTTCCTTCGGCGGCAGGATCAACGGTCACATGAGCTTCCGGCTGGCGGTGTCGGAGGAGACGGGCGAGCTGGTCGCCATCGGCTGCCGCGTGGGCGTGAGTCTACCCTACATCTGCCACACGGGGATACATCCGCGCTTGGTGTGGAAACCCTGTCGACATTTCTCCAGACAGAACTCGGCGTTGCTCGGCACATCGAGCCGGCAGTTGCTGCCCGACGCCGTGGCGAGTGCTCTCAAACAAACGGCCAGCGAGACCGCGCCCCATCTTCTCGGCACGGTGCTGGACAAGAGGGAGTCGCTCTTCGTGTATTGGGACCCGTTGCCCTACTGCGCCTACTATCATCTTCAATTGCCGTTTCGGCGTGTCGCGGAGGCCATCAGGACGCAGCACAACCCACCCCTGGGGGTGGTGCAATAGGACTCTCCCCTAAAGTGAAAGCCTTTCTTGCATTGAGATCCCTCTCTGTTCCGCCTACCATTATTCGTAGTTGCACTTTAGACACTACGTTTCGCGAGCGCACAACTGATCCTTAGCCCGTGATGCAATCAAGGGGTTGAAGTGCAGCTAGCAACTGGATCTCAACGTCAGTCGCGTCTCCGAGAAGAAAATGTGCCAAAGAGGAGATTCGCGGACGAATCCCGGACGAGACCGTACTTACTTTTTTTTTCGTGAGTAATTGTGTAGAGTGTGATAGATATTATTTATTGGAGAACAATGTATCTTACGCGCGACATCCGTTTCACACGCGGCTAATCGGCAAAGAGCTACGTATTCCCTTGTTACATTACCTTGCATCGCATTGCAACACATAAGTGAATATGAGACTCTAATATGATTCCACGCATAGAGTGCGTGTGTGAAAGAGAGAGAGAGAAAGGGAGCGCGTATACGTATGCGTGTATTTCATTCCACTTTTTCTTATTAATTAACTATAATATAAACATATAGCGGTACTTTGCTCCGACGAGAGGAGAGAAGAGACACGGTAGTTGTGCGTCAATTCGAGAACTAGGAAGTAAGAACCTGGCAAGGGCACCGTTTCGTGTATGAGAGAGAAGAGAGAGAGAGAGAGAGAGCGTGCGCGCGTGAGAGTCAATGGGGGAACCGGCGATCGCGGATTTTAACGAAAGTAAACGAGTTAAAAATAGGCGCAAAGGTCAAGTTCGGCTCAAGTAATCGGTTTGAAAAAGAAAAAAGAAGAGAAAACAGTAATGTGGCGGTTCTGCGTCGCGCGCCGTGCGTGTTGCCACTCGAAACTCTGCCTCGATTGGGGAAACGTATGGGGGAGGAGCGCGATTGGACACACGGATGAAAAAACATATGCTCTCCGCGGGTTACGCGCTATCAATACTGATTGTACTAAACGGGAGACTGTTGCGCCGTGCGTGATTAATATATTCCTATCTCTCTGTAGACTGACACAGCAACCGTCCGTACAATAACGGCGGACGAGGGGGAAGAAGGAGACTGATTCCTCCGGAGAAGCCGGTTAACTCTAATCTCTCACCTCCTTCGCTATGTTTTATCGCGCGGCTGCGATCGCGAGAAGCAAAGCTATCTCGTCGGCGATGCAATTTGCTCAAGTTGCTGTCGATCGAGCCGAGGATGCTCACATCGACAGGGGGTCACATCGATGCGAGGAGATAAGTATTTAAAACGACGCTTATCACCCGTGCAAGTGTGCGAACTAGCGATATCCTGGAGAGGACAATCTTCGATCTTTCCATCTAATTATAGAATTAAAATCGATAGCAATATTTTCGTGTATGCGTAATAACAAACGACGTTTGTACAACCGCTGATAGGACTATTTATGAACTATTGTGCACCCAGACCAATAGGTTCCGGCGATGCAAACCTCGTTGTTAACGTTGTGCGAGAGAAAGAGAGAGAGAGAGCGTGCGCGCTCACGAATATGATTGCTTGCTACATGTTTTGTAAATACCAGCGCATAATCGATCGAAGTGACTTAACCCTTCCGATATCGTTTCTTTCTTTTACATGAAAGAAGGAATGAGGTATTTATATTGATAAGTTCATAAAACGCGTTTCGATTTTCTTACATTACATCAGATTTAGCGATCCTCACAATTGAAACGTATCTCAGTACTTCGCAATAAAACGAATGATTATTTATTACTTTTTTATTCTCGGATAAACTTTTCGAATATTCTTCGGGATCATACACATCAAGATGTATCCTAATGATATCGAAAGGATTAACGAATAATAGGTCTGTCTGGATTACTTAATGTATTTCATCGCGTAAGTTTCAATCATTTTGAAAGACCAGCTTTGAAGAGAATTCTTCGAAATACTCTAAGAAGATATAATCTATATTACTCCTCTGTTGAGAGAGAAAGAGAGAGAGGGAGAGAGAGAGAGAGAGAGAGAGAGAGAGAGAGAGAGAGAGAATATAATCATTGTTAGTCTTTTGTTAATAAATGTCCAAAAGATATCGAACCATACATATTGTTGTTATCCCTCAGTACGAAGCTAAAGCGCTTATGTCAATTATTTATATGACATAAGTATCTTCAATATATTTTCGAGTCATTTACTGCATTGCAATAAATTGATAAATTAATGTTGCAATAAATGTTGCAAACATACATCTTTTATCTCTCATTGATTTAATTTAAAATTACATTAACCGAGAAGTTCAATTAACTAATTAACGTAAAGAGGGCTGCGAGAGGAGATAAAATTCAAAAATTAAAATTCGCCTAAGCAGCATTTACCATTTTTTTATCATTATCATATAATTTTTCAAGCCGTAAGATCTATCGCATTGACACTGCAAATATAGATGAACTCTGCAAATATTGCACAGAGCATTTTTCAAGGAAAAAAGTGATTTTTGTTAGGAGCAATGACCATCGTCGTCGTGATCGTATCGTCGATCAGGTCGATCGTACGCTGAAAATCGCATTGTTTACTCGTGCTAACGAGCGCGACGTAATGCATCTTGCATATATCGAGGGCGTTTCGCCAAAGAGCTGCTGGTTGACTGGTGGGACTTATAATCTCCTTACGACGCGATTGTACGCGTGAAGCTGTAAATAATGCCTCGCTATAGATGGAATGACCCGGGGGCAACACTGGCTGACGGACTTTGACAGCTCGGGGTCGCCGGTTCGTGAAAAGAACGAGAGAGCGAGAGAGTCAGCTCGCCGGTATTATCTGCCTTTCTTCTCCTTTTCCCACCTCTCCTTCACTTTCTTCTTCAAAACTTACTGCACTCAACCGCTTCTTTCCCCGAGTAGACAGATATCCGCGTCAACGTCGCCGAACAATCAACTTTGCCGTCAAATTAACCCTTAGTTAGTCGCCTTCGGCTCGACTAATATAACTGATCGCGCGGGGTTACGACCCCGTTACATTTTTTTCACTACGCACACTACAGAGTTCTTGCTATACAAGTTGGAAATTAATAACCTTATCTAGTTTAATTTCAAGCGAATAATTTTACACTGTCAAATTTGTCAGCAAAACAAGTACTATTTACTTTGTTTCCTGTAGCTTCATTCTCCTCGCACCTCAGCATTCAATCCAATCGTTGCTCTTATCGCGAACCCATATATCCGATTAATATCTAATCTCAAGAATGTAATTCCACTTGTAGGATTACGATTGACTGATAAGAATGATCGATTTTCCCGCGATAATAAAGGAAACAAAAATTAACGAATGGAAATGTTCGCGAGTTAACGGAAAAATTCGGCCTGATAAGGCGCGATATGCAAAAGCTGTCTGGCGATAGTTTTATCGCCGATAATTCCTCCACGTGGCTCGGCGTAAAAAATTATGTTAGAGATGAAAATGCGCCGAGAATATGAGTGAGATATAAGGGCAGTAAACTGACATCAAACATTTCGCGAAATAAATGTTTAAGAAAGATTTAGGTACACGTAACTATGTTGCTAGGCAATTTTGCTTCTAAATGTCGAAATAATTGTGCATGATTTATCCCCTAAATTGAGATTATCAATTTTTGGACAAATACCATTCAGAAATTTTATTCCTACAAAACCGCAGCATTTTGGCGAATCACCTTAATGCAATCATTGTAAAATATCCTCCTTTTGAATGATGCAATTATTACACAACATTTGAGACATTTTTCTATCGGGGTATATGTATAGGTTGAAGAAAAATCATTTCAGAAAACGAAATTTTTACGATACAGTCTGATATATCTTGGCTATACATTCTACTTATCATATGAAATATGAGATACCACGCAAAGTATTCACTTTCCAATGAGCTTGCTATACAAACGGAGACGGAAACTCTAGTCGTCCCTTTCTTTCACGAAGCAAGGACAAGAGTCGGAGATTCGGACAACGGCGGCAATAAAGTGTGTAACGCAGACTTATCATGCGATAATATTGAAATGCAGTTCCTTGACGACGGCCAGTAAAATAAATCAATATATACGCCGGTACCCTTCCTCCATTTTTTACTCTCCCTCAGGAGAGGCACGCGATAAAAGCGTCTATCTTACCCATAAACTTAACCGAGCTCTTATTCGGAGAGGCAGTGAGATGCGCCTCCGTTTCTACTTGAGACGAACATAATACCCTGACATAATAACGATGACTTTGCCTTCGATATAATAGCGATAATAACGATCGCCCCGGCCAAGTCGATCTCGCTGTAATAAGGCCTAAAGTAAAAGGACTTAAAAGCCGCTAACTTGGTTTAGCGGCGTGGAGAACAAGTAAAGTCATTTCCTTTAGCAATGCGAACCGCGTGGTTCCAGGTACGGCGTTGTGGGAACCGATTCACCTGGCTGGCATAGCGATGGTCTGGTTACTGCCAGTTACCTCTCGCCGCTATTCGCTGGTTGTAATATCTTACAATTCAATACCCCTTCCTTTTCGGAACATGAAGCTTCGACTTTTTACGCCGTCTAGACCGAAAAGAGCACTTGTTACACCAGAAACTGCTCTAAACTAGAAAGTGCTCTATAGAATACGGTTAACAAGCATTTTATGTACCTATACAAATCTACTTTCTAAATCTTTTAACATTATTTCAAGAGCAGGCGACACAAAAAACAAGACGTTTCACGGTAGGTTTCGAGACACTTATTGCTTGGAGATTACAGAGAATTAAGTCAATCGTGGATACTTTTCTTTTTACTGCGACTTGTCGAAAGATTTTTTCCCATAACTTGACTTCTCATTTCCTGCGACAGATATTCCGAATCGTTCCTACACATGACTCTGTAAATCACGACCAACCATCAAGGAAGGGAGGAATAGTGTCACATAAATTTATGATGTGATTATAATTTAGTTTCAAGCTTCTATTATCGTGCGTCATGAATGTGATTCAATAATTAGTTGTGCACGCGAAATTGCAGTTGCGTGCACGCAGATCGGAGCCAATCTCTCGTACAGCTTCACGAATTCGTTGAGCAGATAAGGGGCTTGTGTTTTACACAAACAGAATAAATATAACCGGGAGGTGAGATATGCATTGCAGAAATGACGCTGTCAGCGGGGTCAGGGTTGGCAAAGTTGATTTTGCGTATGTGATGCCGGTTAATGATTACGTCGAACGCGGTATCGTTTAGTCGTACACTTGGGAGTATCGAGAAATTCGGTCAAAAAAAATTGTAGAACGTTGCGTCTTTCGTCCCCCTGTAATCTCCCACTCTTTTTCAACCACTGCGGAAACGTGTTCTTGGAAGAGGGAGCATCGGGGGTCATAAATATGAAAACACACGGAATTCTCATTGTTTCGCCTTGCTTAGAAGTTTCGCTTTCGCCTAGAAGTTCGACTGACGATCCTGTCACGTGACAGTTTCATCAGTTTGCTTCGAAATTCTGGGCAAACAGTGTGAAAATTTCCAGGCAACGTGGAACGCACACCCAGGTCGCTTCAACCGCAAACGTAGTTCCCTTAGAATTTCCAGATCATTTTCGAGCAGCCGTCACCCGGGATTCGCGATGCACACGTCCGATTTCGACGTGCGTTGCGTAACGGCGAAGAGGCCACCCGGCTTCGTCGATTACACCCGTCCTCTCTTCTCGAAACAACACGGCCGGAGCGAGCGGGCGGGCGGATATACGATACCGATACATTGTATCTAATCTCTGCTGCAACGCGACGAGCAAATACTATATTCCAGAAGGGGGTACTTTCGGCGCGTATCGACAAATGGGCTATTAATACCGTTCGTTCGGTTAGTGCTATCCGGAGTCTCGTCGCTCGACAATAAACCGTCGCCTTTTCACGAAAATATCCTGAAGGATCGCGTGAAAACGATCGAGTGAAAAACACCTATCGTACGTTCTACATTCTCTCCCTCTCTTTTCCTCATTTTTTCCCCTCGACAGTCGGAACCTCTATTTGTTAATGGTTGGTATTCTCTTCACGCGGCGCATCATCCCCGGCGAAGGAAATCAAGGATTGAGAGGAGACATGCGGTTCCGATCGCCGACGGCGGTTCTGCTCCTCTGCGCCGTTTCGCTCGCGACGGCGCAAGGAGTCAACGAGTGTCAACAAGGTGCCGACGACGAGCTGATCTGGGAGTATGACGTCAGGAGGCCGCACCGAACCGGTAGTTATCAAGTGCGTTTACGATCATATCGCGGACCGGGTCCTGTTAATCGCATGGACCTTTCGGATCCACTTGTTAACAGTTACCTTAATCCATTCACAAAGGCGATTTCTCCATTGTAATTAGGAGGTAGAGGCGGATTACGGGCCGACGGGCGCGAGAATCACGTGCATAGGTTTCAACTCACTGTCCGATGAAGATAACGGCGCGGCATGGGTCACCGCCGGCGGAATCGATCACAACTTCGTCAAACTCAAGTTCAGGTCCAAGTATTCGCGAGGACTCCATTACAGAGTCCACGTTTACGGACGGCCCACTCTGAGAAGAGGTTCACAGTGGCTTCTTTGACGGCTATCCTTTATAAATCCTTTGCGCCTTACGGTAGTACCCAATTCCCCGGGTTCGAATGTGTAATCGTATCAATCCTTTCTGAGTTGTCAATCTTTTTTTCTTTAACATTGTTGGATCTATCGAATGTAGCAGTGTGGTAAAGCCACGTGTATGTTTCAATAGAAAAATTACAACGCGCATTTTCGCATTTATCGATACTCAAATCCACCCACTTAAATGTATTTACAACCAGCGTTGTCTCGTCGGCTCTCGTCCGGGACAGCGTGTTGCACGAATTTTCGACGCTAACGTCTGCGTAATAAATCTGTAGATAGAGATTTACCACCGTTGTAATTCAGGACGTTAACCCGTCGCGTGTCCCAATAACACTGATAGAAATGGAACCACCTCGTGACAGGAAATAGAGCCCTCTCCGATAGTAAATCTATCTCTCTCCACTTTATGTTTTACTTCTGACAAAGTAATAAAAATATAAACTCAAGCAATTAGGAGTAAGTTTTTCTAATTTACTGCAAAATTCGTTCTCTGCTCCTCGTAATTTAGCCTCGCGCACGTGATGGCGTAATTAATCTTTCTACGCGTAAAACACCCCCCAAAGAGATTGTAAAAAGGACCCTCGATTTCCAAAGAAACAAAATTAATTTTCATGGTTCGTAGTCAAGAGACAACGGTAGGAGTTAACATCATTTCGCAAGTTGAAAACTCAGTTTTGCGAGGAACCGACAGGAGAGGGGGAGGAGGGTTATCGTTCCCGAATGCGCGGTACCATGTAACCTATATATCCCTTGTGGGTCAAATTCCGAAAACAAGCTGACGTGACCACAGCGATAAGCAGAACCCGCGTCGGGTTCCACATGGAAAGGCGCGGGGACGATTCTCCAGATTGGAAAAGCCTAATACCCCTCCCGGAGCGGGGTGTACCATCCGCGGATTGCCTCCATCGACAAGTACGAAAGAAATATTTTCCCTGCGTGCAGGAAATAATTACGTAGTCGAACATGCGAAACGATATCCGCCGTTCCTTTGGGCAATTACACGAAAAGAAAGTTTTGATCGGCTAGTCCGGATAGGCGGGCACGTCAAGCGGTACCCGGAAGGATTGCCTGTTCATCAATTATCGAGATACTCGAGGACATTTGCGAAATCTATTCCTTGTACCTTGGAATTTAATTTCTCTCGTTTTACAAACGATAGCTTCAAAATAATTACAAGTTTACTCAAAGACATTTTTTTAACGAGACAAAATGAGAGAGAGGCAGAAAAGCAGGAGGAAAACAACGTGTAATTCTGCAAAGTTTCAATTTATGTTAATTATTGTATAAGTTATTAATTGTGTATCTTCTATGAGTAAAAATTATCATATTCTACATGTGTTACTATCAAATATACATATATTAAATATATAAACATGCGTTCTGAAAATTTGATACTTTTTTCCCATTTCTTGCTTTAATCCCTTATATTTTAGATAGTCAGAACAGATTTTATCAAATGCAATGATTTTATCAATGCCCACTACAAATTTTGAAGGCAGAAAAACTGCAGATTTCACACAGGAACTGATATATTCGACATGTTGCCAGCACGTCAGCAGGTTTCTGCCGACAGTCTGTTGATAGCGTTTCACAGATTCTGTTGGCAAAACAAAAGTCAAATGCGGACACAGATGGCTATGGTCTTGGTGTGAGTTTCTGACGAATCTGCTGCCAATCTGCTAACATTTTGCTGACTGGGTAGCTAATTACTCCTTCACCGTGTTCCAATTATTTGAAATTTTCATATCCTTTCAAAGCGCATCAATACGACAATCATAAAATTGATCAGACATCAAGTTGAACATTCTGTTCGTATACGCGTAACCAGGTAGCAGATTTCGATTTCCCCCGGCTCGAATGTTCACACCACGTCTAGATCGCCCGCCCTCGTTCACCGCGTATACGCCGGGGGATACGTGTGCCGGGACACCCTCGCGTACGGCACCCCCGCCCCCGTTAACTCGCGGGGACCGCGTTCAGGCGTTCGTGGGCGCCGCGCGCGGCACGCGATCCCGCCACCCGCGGTGGGATCCCCAGGAACAAAACGGCAGAAGCGTCGCGACGCCGATCCATCGACGGCGCCTCACTCCTCAGTGAAGTCCGGTCGTCCGTGGCGAACGCAAGCGACCGCACCCCCGCTGTTAGGGTTGCTGCCGAGAAGCCCTGAGGAAACCGTACCGCCGCCAGCCGTCCTCCCTCGTCGCCGACGGCCGCTCGTTTCTCATCTCTTTTACGGAAAGCAACGCGGCACTAATTCAAACGTCGAAATACACCTTAAAGATGCCGCGGGTGAGTTCTCATTTTTACTTATTTTGATATAATTCGGTTACGAATATGTAATATACAATTAATTATTAATTATCTATTAATAATTTTTTATAATATTTTTCAATAAGGAACATACTGCAAAGTGCTTTTTCGTTACTTTAAGACTCTGTAGATCAAGATATTATTAAGAATATAAAAAAGTTGTTGGATGGTTAAAGAGAAATCTGTTGTTTTAGATTTTTATATGCTTCTGCATTTAGAATAAAAAAATGATATGTTCTCTTAAGTCTCAAGAGAAGTGTAAGGAAATAACCGGGCAGTGTTAAAAGCGTAATTAAAGTCGATTACTGCTTCTTTTTAAAATTGTAATAAATATCTAATTTTATGTGAATAAAGTAATATGTTGTAGAAATTAACAAGAAAATTGATACTTAAAAAATTGCATCTTTACGAAGTAAATAAAATAATTACACATCGTTTAATAACTACGCATTCGTTAGTATTAACACGATATAACAGTTTGTTTCCCCAAGTTTTCCAAGTATGGACTAAACTGTCTGATCTAAAGACAATTATACCCTCGTAATTAGGCATGAGTTCCCAATGCCTAATTACGTACGCCACTCTTATCACGCAATTGATCGACGAAGTCTTCAAACAAGCGGTTAGTCCTAAGGTTCAGTTAAGCGCTCACTGAGAGCGTAGAAATGAAATCGTTAGCAACATTGGTTAACTAGTTTCACGCCAGCAAGAGTTGATTGACTCCTTTCATTATCTCCAACGCACAAACACTGGTGGTGTGGAGAAGAGATCCTATTACTGCCCGATTCCCTCGCGATTCAACTGATGTGAACTAATAAAATTAATTATAAAACTTTATGATTAAAATGGAAAATAATTATATATATTTTTACTGCCCACTCCTCAATATTTTATATTTATCGCCGTATTTATTAGCCGTGTGGTGTGAAAAACAATTGTTATTTTTATTCGTTTAAAAAATCTACAAATGAAAGAATACTGGAATACCTTTCACGTATTAAATTGATAACATTAAAAAAAGATTTTTTAGATTCCGTTTAAGGTAGATTTTGGAACTTGGAGTTTCTTCGAAGCAGCAATTAACAGAGGTTGCTTTGATTAATTAAAATTAATTTGATAGGTAAGTTAATTTTCAACTATTAAAATTTTCAACTTTCTCGATCCCTGATAAATGGTGCAAATCTTTAATAACATACATTGTAAAAGATATCTATGATTGTGTGAAAATTGAGAGTGACCACTGGACAGTTTCACAGACTATGACGCATTCGTTGTGAAGGGGGGTGTCGACGTAAAATCATAATAATCTATTCATGAACCGGGGTTCATTCTGTCACGTATCGCAACCTCATTCACCAGTCACCAGGCCGCTACGTTACATATGTTCTCGATAGGGAATCACACGTGCTATGTGCACGAGATAAAAACATTTTTAGAGACGTATTTCCGCATCCAATTCTCAATATGTGCAAGCTAAGCGCATCTGTTTTTTGTCTTTCTCTTTGTGAATTTGACAAATAAATTAAATGTCTACGCGTCGTGTCATATTTAGGGAAGATGCCTCATTAGCCGGAGACATATGATTCTTCCCCGCGAGCGTTATCGACGAGTCTCGTAATTAATATATGCGATAAAACGGACCCCGAACCGAGTTCCTTTTTCTGACTGTAATAAAGTAAATGTACGGCATATGCCGTGCCGTGTATTTACTCACATGCGTGTGCTACACGAAATGCAAATCCGATTGCGCACTTTAACACGCGTGCACTAACACACTCGGCACAATGCGAGACTCTCGATCGATACGACACGGGGTACAATATCCTTTGTAACACTGTTTTTCCTCGAGGGTCTCGTAGGACTCCAACAAAGCCGATCTCGTTGTAAGAATTTCTTTCGCGACTTTTATAAAGACCGGATGCGCTTTAGTCTGAATCGCAAAAATTATTATCATATATCCGTGTCTTGCATAATTCCGAAAATGCTACGGTTTACAGATTACCGCGGGCAACGTTCATGATAGTTATATAATTGTATCGACTGCGCTGATGCAACATTTTAATCGATGTCCAAGTGAAATGAGCAAATAAGTTTAATTTTATATATAAATACACGCACACGTACATACATAAACGTATAATGATGTGTAATTCACATCTGTTTTTATTACTTTCAATTTCTTGCAATTTCTTGCTTTCGCAATTAATGCGATATTATTTCAGCATATTAGACTTCGAATTTTAATCATTGGACATTGATCACGAGTAATTTCCGCGCGCAAGAAACAGTTGTTTCTCTGTTTTCTTTCATTTACTCGGGACTTCACGTCGGGAATGGCGAAATTGTGCCGATAACGCAAAGCAGAATCCACAAATAAACTGATAAAATCGATCGCAAAGGTGCTGGATAATCGAAACTGTTAATAGAAGTGTTTCGAAAGGTTATCGGGAAATTCAAAAGCGGTTATCGCAAGGACACTTGGTTTGTAGCGAAATCACGTTTTATGCATGACACGGCCTGAAATGCAGCGTAGACGTTTTCCATAATCTCTTATTTTTTCCCCCTCGGCATAGCAAAGCGATAGCGTGTCATCGGTAAATGTTATCACGGAATAAGTACGAAGACTAGTTCTCTAAGAGCACTTCTCGATTTTATAATAATAACGGTTGATCTCTTAATAAAGTTCGTGACACATATACGATAACGCGAAACGAGAATTAGTGCAGTCTGCACATGATCAAGGGTAGAGATAGACTACCCCTTACGAAACTGCGTGGTTCCAAATGTCCTCATGTCGATGCGAATTTCTTCACATTGCGATGCGGCGTAGACCATAGGTCTGTTCTTTATTGCTGCACTCCTGAACTAGTGCACACTGGTGCAATGAGTTGGAATGAGAGGTAATCTATTTGCTTCATTTTAACTTATTACACTAGTTCTGTAGTGCAATAATAAAGAACAGGCCTCATAATTCCCCGTCAAGGGCGGATCCAGAGGGGACACAGGGGGGATGCGCGCGTCCCCTTCGAGAATAATGAACTTACACCAAGTAAAATGGATTCCAAGACAAAAGAAAAATCAAAATAAATTACTATTGAGATATTAAAAATAAAATGTATGTGGGTTAATAATTTTCTGTTTGCTTCGCAAGCTTTTGCGAGTTCATTTAAATGCACACCAAATCTCAATCGCAAATAAATTGGATTTCCAGCTTTGCGTCCCCTCTGAAAAAATTTTTCTGGATCTGCTCTTGTTCCCCGTTCGCGTATTATCCATAATACTTTCTTCGTGCCTCGATCGACATCATCTAAGGTCAAAATTCGCGCTTTCATTCCGCGAATCTCGTGTGCAACAGGCTACGTGACTTTCGTAAAAAGAGAGAGTTCGGCCTTCACGGGTTTTTTTTACGTAAAATTTCTTGATATCGCACTCTCGACTTTGTCCTATCTAGCCGAAAAGGAGGGGAAAAGCGAAGAGGAAAAAAAAGAGAAAGAGAAAAGGAGAACATGGGCGCATGGACTCCCCTACATTTTGTTAAAAATCCGCGCACAGTTCTCCACGGCGTGCTTATCGTCACAAGACGAAGCGAGAAGGCTGAGAGAAAGAGGGAAAAGACGATACGGTCTCGCTGACCCACGAAGCCATAGTCTGTAAAAATTTGTCAGATACATGCAGGCAGACACGACTCGATCCGCCTCGATTGCTGCCCCTCAATGAGGCCTCGGCGGCAGAAATTCCATGGCAAAAAGAAAAAAGAAAGAGCGCGCTCGGTGACAAACTTTGAACTACTTCAATTCTCTTTTTCGCGTTAAAACGACCTTCCTACGACGCGGCTATCAATCGGCACGAGGGCCGTGAGTGATCGGACTCAAAACCGGTATTTTTGCGTGTCTTTCTTTCGTATAAAAAATGCTATTGCCTACAAGATACCGCTATCGTGCCATGCGTAATAAATGAAGATGCCTCTCCAGTCTGGGTCGCCATTGATACCGAAACGAAGTTTTGCACTTTGAGTCTGACATTTCCGCACTTCATTTGTCACTCGTGACAAATACGATTATCTGAAATTATTGTTGATCTCAAAGTCCAATGTTAAACTACGTTCCGCGCGGCACGTGCGCCTCCAATAAACAGGAGCGAAACGGCGGGACATGTTTTATAATTTGCGCACAATAATGTCGGTCAGCGATATAACGCAGCGCCGAAAATAGAGATATGCGTGTGTTCTTCTGAGATAATTATGCACGAGGGAAGGAGCCGTCGTTGCAAAACACTTTGCTCGGTCCACTGAAATTATCTCCATTTTGTAATACGACGATTTTTAACGATTTTAGACGATCATAATTAGATTGTTCTCCGCATCGTTTAAATCGAAAAGAGAGCCGAACGACCGAGCTCTCCGTTCCCTCTCATTCTCTACGGTCTTTCCCGGAGAAATTGGATCCCCCTTTCGAGGCAAAGCGTTTAACTCGAGTACGGCGGGTCCGTGTCTAATTTTTGTCTTCCCTACGAAGGGCTTCTAGTATCTGGCATCTGAGCGAATGGGAAGAAGCTCGAGCCACTGCCAGGCACTGAATGGCACCAATCGATATATGCTCAACCTGGTCCGCCAGGATATCACCGGCAAGCACACCGCCGGCTTGACTTCCCGTACGAAGACTTCCTCTGTACGACTCTAAGCTGCCACGATGACTTCAATGTGCCGCGTGAACCGGCGACACATTATAGTTTCTACTGGATGACGTCACCCTTGCACGGACTTTGCCCTACTGATCGTAGTATAATAATTTCTGCGTACTCATCCTAAATTGTAGTTCCCGAGGCGTTCAGTAACCTGGCGTGAATATCAATCGCACGTCACCCTCTCGCCGTATTGTCATTTGCGCCATGGAAAGACGTTTCATCACATCTCGGTAGATGTTCTCTCACACGAAAGCTATCGAGTTTCTAAATCACAGAATTTTTTGCAATCCAAAACGAGCGTGCAAAATCTATTGAATCCTCGACCATTGATAGAGGTTGCCTTAAATCCCATAAAAATTTATGATATCCTGTCAAGGGCTAAACGATTTTTTTCAGCATGGTTAAGGGTGAAGCAGTCCATCGATTTAACGGGTAGATCTCGCGATGTGTGGTTCCGCAGCCATTCGTGCGATCGTACGCGGTTACCAACACCTCATGAGAATTTAGCAGCTGCGTTAATAACTGCCGCGAGATAAACCGCAGGTCCGGTTCATGCAACAACACCACGTTTCGCCGCCAGCGATATATACATTTAAAACCATTCTAACGATCATAAAGCGAACGTTTGCCTTGATAAACATAGTATTATATCATACAATTGTCTAATTATTTATATGTCTAATTATATACTGATTTTGTGCATTTCATTCACGAGCTTATTTGTAAGTTATAAAAATAAATTAGACATTGTCCCGACAGTTCGCTCATCCAAAACCGATACAATCGAGATAAAAGACGTGACAACGGAGACAAAATACAGAAAATATTTAGAAGTTGTACTTTGCCAATTTGTTTCGTCTTCGTGTCGTGATAACGGCGTATTTTGATAGCAAAGACTGCCTTCGTGCTGCAATCAATACACAAGCTGACCTATCATAACTATAAATGTGTTGAAATGAATATCAGCGGTCGCGGGTTCAACTATTAGGGACTGATAACGATCTACAAGTGAACAAATCCAACCGGACGGATGCAGATCAATCCTGTTGCGTTTTATCAACCTAATTAGCCTTAATCTACTCGCCAAAGTACCTCAAATGAGAAAACAATTCTGCAGTCAGGTCAATTATGACGATAAGCTCGAGCATAATTTGTTGGGAATTCAGGAGAACATCGATTACAGAATTCTCCGAAAGGAATACGTCAAATACGTGGAAAATATTGAAAATATTACTTAAAAAACAGATTGCTGCAGTTTTCGATGAAAGTAGAAACAGCGTACCTGTTTCAATTAATCGAAAGAAATTATGCATTGTGTGTTGCAGCCAGTTTCGAAAGGAACTTCTCAATTATCGGCACGGGGACAGACGGACAGGCGGCGGCCACCGTTTCTCAGAGCTTCCACCAAAGCCAAGGAGGTAAAAAAAACAATAAAACGCATCATAAATGACAGAGGCCGACGATTCTATATAAAAATTAGCGAAACTTGAGCTTTTCTTGCAACTACTACATGGAATAGAAGAGAATTTCTCTTATAATATGAATATAATTAAATTAATTAACAATATTATATTATTACCTTTGTTAATATAAAAAACATTCTCACAACTTCAATAATAAAAGATAGAATGGCGCAAACATATATTCAATTGTTGTAATTTAAGATTATATTTTGCTTACAAGTCAAAATTGTTTACGTTTGATTTAAAATAAAATTCTATGTATGAATTGTTAAGTTTATAAAGTTTTTGTATCATAATATGCTAATAAGAATTTAGTCTACGCATGTAAATTTTTACGGTGGAGCAGCTCGTTACGCCAATGAATCTGACGTCACCATTGTCATGGCAACTCGTAATAAACAGTAAACAGAACCTAACCAAATTCAAAGACATGCACATGTCTTCGTGTGTGCTCTTGATCCGCCACCCTTTGTATTTATTATACCTTTGTATAAATTGTCAGTGTATATAATGGCTATTTATACTGTATTAAAAATAATTGTGGATAAGTTCAAACTAGGATACATCATATTTTAATTATGAACAACGATTTAAAATAAAAACCTACAATAAAGTAAATAATTTCTTGATAACAGCATGTTTCATTTTGTACGTACGCACTTTCTCTCCCTGACATTTGTTTTTTTTTTGTAATATACTTGTATCGATTTACCGACAAATAGAGTTTAACGCACTTGTGCGAGAACGTTATCTTAAAGAGAGATGTTTTAATTTAATGAAAATGGAATATGAAAATGGAATTCTACGGCGATGAAGTGCGGCAGAAAATTATCCGTTTACAGACGGAACGAACCAGCGGGAGTAAGATGGATTCTGCACGCAGCGGGGGTGCTATAGAAGAACAAGATAGTGATGAAGACCTGTCGCCAGATGCTTTAGTCAGACAAAATTATGAGCTCCGTCATCGCTTGGAACAGGAAACCGCGAGTTACAAAAGACGTTTGGACACGTATCGGCAGGCTCAGCAGCATCAAGCTGCCCTTGTCTCGCGGTTACAAGCTAAAGTAAGTATCGCTGGTTATCCTTATGAAACACAGATCTAGTTGATGCGCGAGCCATAAGATTTGGCAAAGATAAGCGAGTAACAATTGAAAATATTTCAGGTTTTGCAGTATAAACAGAGATGTTCGGAACTGGAGAATCAGATGGCAGAGACAATTCCGTGTGACTCTACTAAACTCGCGACAGCCACGGTGTCCTCCACCACCGTGCTAGAGGCTGCCCATCAGACACTTCGGGATATACGCGAGGAGCAAATTCACGATATGGATACTGCTTTGAAAAAGCTCGGAGACGAACGGCGAAAGTACGTAGAAACTACATAGATCGGGGGGGGGGGGGGGGTAAAGAAATTTTTTTCTGTAAAAACTACAGTAAATATTTTAGCAGTTTTGCAGACTAAGAGGATATTGTGCAGAGATTTATTTATGTAACAAATTTCCACAAGCTGTTTTTAACCGGCATTTTTTTTAACAAGGAAACAGATTTTCCAACTGTGTAGACTCGTGCTGCACATTTCAAAGAGGTTTTTCTTTTTTCTCGCTTTTGGATTTCAGCATGAAACTACATTTTATAACATTATCGTACCTATGACGTTTTAATTGTAAGTTTTTCGCATTATATGTATTTATATCTTTAATAGTGTTGTTTGTATAAAGTAATTGTAACTTGATAAGGACCACAATCCGGATGGTCGAGACGTATTGAACTTTACAATAAACCTTTTGCCAGTTTTGCTCGAAGAAATTTGCTTTATTTGTTTCTTTCTTCTGTTACAGATGTGAGGAACTTTTACAACTAAATTCATCCCTGAAAGATCAACTCGAGGAGTCCCATCAGACAAACGAGGCACTAACCAATGATTTGCAAAAACTAAGTAACGATTGGGATATATTAAGAGAGGAATTAGCTATTAAGGAGGACGAGTGGAAGGAAGAAGAACAGGCATTCAATGAATATTACATCTCTGAGCATAATCGATTACTGAACCTGTGGCGCGATGTTGTCTCCGTTAAAAGACTGTTTGCAGAAATGAAATCCACTACGGAGAGGGATTTGTCCAAAATACGGAATGAAATCATTTCATCATCCAACGAAATGACATCGGCGTGCAACAGTGCGAATTTTACTATGAAGCTTCAAGCAAGTGCAGTGCAATCCACGGTAGGTTCTACAATTGTGTTGATAATTGCACAATCCGTAAGTATGTTTGCCATTGAAATTTTACTCACTCCCCTATTTTAGCCGTTCCAGAAAGTACAACTACAGGAGGAGGAACAGGCTGTGACTATTCTAAAAACAGAGATCACGGCACTGAAGCAACAGCATGCTGCCGATCAGCATGAAATTCGTACCAAAGACGACCGGATAGATCAGCTGATTCGAGAAATTCGCAACTTAGTGAGCGTCAGCTTATTTCAAGTGTAACTTGTATCGAGATGTAATTTGAACGGTGTATTTTCTCGGAATGTGCAGGAAGAGAGATGCGGCGTTTCTGAGGCGACAGTGGCCCAAACCGTGCGTATGCAGGAAGATATTGAGGTACTGGAATCCGCGTTACGAGATATCGCACATGCCGTGATTCAGGATGCCGAGAGTCGGGATGCCGACGTTAAACAGGCATCCCCGCACATCCATCTGTCGCCGCCCAGCGGACTGATTCAGCAGAGATCGCCGAAGAGAAGCACGCGAAGTAACACTATACCGGCGTTTGCCGAAAGCACTATAAGCGCGGTACGAGCGGCTCTGCAGAAATATCAGTTGACGATACGCGAGTTACAGGTACGCGTCCATCCGATATCTTATTAAAAAAGACAACTAAGAAATTTAACTCACAATTTATGCCTTGTCTACGACTTTTCCCCGTTAGATAAAATCACAAACGAGCAAGGAGCAAATTCTAATGATGCGCAAGCAGTGCGACACCGCGGAGGAAAACGCTCAGACGTTAAATACCAAAGTTGCGGAATTGATATCTCAGTTGGATACATGTCGTTCGCAATGCGCGCAACTGGACCAAGAGAAGGAAATGCTGCAGAAGAGTTTCGACACTGTGAAATTGGAGAAGAATGCATTGGACAAGAATAAAATGGAACTTAATAGCACGGTAAGATTTATCGATTAATCTTCCCTGCTTATTGTTAGACTGCTGACATTCTTTGCATTACAGATGGAGGCTCTCAAAAGTAATTACGAGAAACTTCAGAAGACGAATAATAAATTACAGAAACTGTGTGACAACTTGGAAGATGAAAAGTTGTATTTGCAAAATGAGCTTGGCAGAATATCGGAGGATGTTGATTTAAAGTAAATCAATTTATTGTATTTTATATACCGCTTGCAATTGTGCCACAAATTACTCATATTTCTTTTATCTATTAAACTTAATGGTCTAGTAAGTGCTCTGGTAAACTTAGTCGTCTTAAAACAATTTCCAGGGAATTAAGTTTACGGTCGGAGGAGGACAGATGCAGTAAAATGAGAGAGGAGCTTTTGACGTTGCGAGAAGATTTGAGTAAAGCTCATCTTGCCAAGGACATGTTGGAACAGCAGAAGTTAGAAACCGACGGGTTAATCTCTCAGATCGAAAAAAGCAAAGGTATTCTCACTCACAGATTATGTTAAATAAATGATGATATAAATGTCACACGTAAATAATTTAGGTGATCTTGAATTGGAACTGGAACGTATACTACTGGAAAAGTCAGATGTACAGGAGATTTTGATAAAAATGGAAGCAATGTGTTCCAATCATGAGCAGGATAAGCAAAGATTGCAGGAAGAATTGAAAAAAGTAACGTCTACCACTACCACTAGTACATGCACTTGATATTAATTACAGATTTCTTGTAGATGACAGACGAGAAAAATAAGCTCGCGAATCAGTGCATCGATCAACAAGGGGATCTGAATTCATTGAGAAAGGAATTGCTGCAAGCCGAACAAACTCGCCTTGACGTACAATCCGAGAAAGTTACGTTGAACGAAAAGATTAAATTTCTGGAGATAGAAAAGGAGAAGGTGGAAATGGAATTGGGCCAAGTGGCGCGCGAACGCAGCGACTTAAGTAATCAATTATCGGTCTTGGCGCGAAAGAAGGAAACGTTAAACGAGGAGCTCATGAGACTTAGACAAAGATTAGAACAGTCCAACGAAATGAATGCACGAATAAACAGAAACTTGAAGGATCTCGTGAAAGATAATGAGGAGAAGCAGGTAAGAATAATCTCATATATGTTAATGCTATATTATAAATGTATTATATCAATTTGTAATTTTTATATATTATTACGCATGTGTCGTATATTAAAACAATAAGGCAATTTTCTCGTATAGGTACTCTTAGAAACGAACGAAAAGGAATTTCAAAGACTGCAAGAGCAAATTGCTTCAATGCGCACTGAGAAAGAAATATTAGAAGGAGTATTGTTCGATACTCAGACCAATTTGGAAGCAACGCATATCAAGAAAACACAGTTAGAGAAAGAGCAAAAAGAGATATTGATAAAACAGGAAAGCTTGAAGGGTCAGGTGACGCGACTAACGAAAGAAGTGGAAAATAGTGAAAAACGTGCGCAAGACATCAAACAATCACTTACGCAACAGAGTGGCGATCAGATTGCGGAATTTCAGCAGATTATATCCAATATGAAGAGACAATCGGAAGATAGCATAAAGAAACTAAACGACGAAAAGGTATTTAATCAATTGTTCACAGAATTTGAACTGTTTAATCCATTATGTTATATTTCTATAATATGTTACATGTACTTGTTCTATTTTTTGCCATTATCTTTAGGAGCAAGTGAGAATAACTTTAGAGAAACGGTTACAACAGTCTCTATCACAAGTAGAGGGAGAGAAAAATGAAGACATTAATCAGCTGCAGCAGCGAATAGAGGAATTGCAGCAACACATTGAGAATTTATGTAAGCAACATGAAGACGCGCTTCTTAGAGCCGAGAATGATAAACAGCAGGCACTTTTGATAGGTATGTAATTAAATATTCTTAATTAGTATTAATTGTTTGTATAAGATCAATTTTTAATATATAAATGCAATAATATGATGTCATATTATCAATATATTAATATATATTTAATTTTGTTATAGCTCATCACGACCAACAGGCTTTAATCGAAAAAACTGACACTATTATGCGCGAATTAGAAGAAGAAAAAAATACTTTAGAACGTGTTAAAAGAGAAGCCACGGCGCGTGCCGAGCAAGAGCGAAATAATACAAATCAACTGCGCGACGAATTAAATCGTCTCAAAACAAAGTTGGATGAAACGAAGCTGAGGGCTAACGAGGAAAAAATGAAACTTGACTTAAAGATAGAGGAGCTCTGGAAGGAACGGGAGTCCACGCAACGAGAAGTCGAAGAATTGCAAGTTCAACTGCACATGACGGAAGATAAAGTAGACGGCTTGCAAAATCAGTTACATGATACTATCAGGAAACTCAAAGACTGTAATGAATTTTCGTCCCCAATTTGTCCCATTTTTCGAGCATGATTGTCATAATCAATTTATTATTTTATTGCAGCTGACAATGTTAATGAGACGATGCGCAAAGAGCTAGTTGACGTACGACGACAATTAGCGGATACCACGTATGAGAAAGAAAAATATAACAACAGTAACAAAGAATTGCGAGAACATGTGAAGCAAATTGAAAGCGAAAGAAGAGAACAAGGAAGAACATTGGAGGAATCGTACCAGAAAATAGCAAGTCGGCATTTTCTTTTCGTAGATATCTATGCATTTGATGATTCGGAGTAGCTAATAAAATGTTCATGTTTAGCATTGGAAGATACGAAAGCAACCATGGACATCGAGAGGACGCGCCTGCAGGCGCAATTACGCGACATGGAACGCGACGCGTCGCAACTGCAGCAGCAGCTTCGCTTCACGCAGGATGAACTGCAGAAATGCCACGAGAACAATTCCCAGGCTCAAAACGAAGAAAAGGAGTTGCAGGCCAGATTGGCTAATGAGATCGAGGAGAGAGAGCGGATACAACTGCAATTGCATCAAGTGAAGAAACAGGTGAGAAATCGCGCGGATTCTTCGACACTCAATTGCAGTCAATAAGACGAATCTTCATTGTTGTAGGTAATCGACTTGGATAACAGCTTGGAAGTTACTCGGCAAGAACTTGGCAAACTGCGCGCGCGAGCGGATGAAGAAGATGAAAGATGGCGTGCCCGAGAGCAAGAGTTGCTGGTGCGGCTCGAGGATAGCCGCTGTCGCGAAAGAAAATTAGAAGATCAGAAACATAATCTGGAAGTTTGCTTGGCTGACGCCACGCAGCAACTGCAAGAGCTGAAGGTATTTTCGAAGAAATATCCTAGATACGAAGTTCAAACTTCGCGTGTCGATTTGCATAGAAATAAAGATGTATTTCTAATTTTAGGCCCGCCTTGGAGGGTCCGAAGGCAGGGTAAGAGCGCTCGACGCACAATTGTCGCAGTTGGAGACTGCTAAAAAGGAAGTGGAGCAGAAATTGAGCAGCGTAGGCTCCACGCTACGCCGTATCGCCGGTATCCAAATGGATGGAAGCGTAAACATGCCGTTTAAATTAATGAGCCCTTCGAGAAGGTGGAGTCCAGCACGTGGTAATACAAATTGTTATTTCGAGCCACAGCAATGTGACACTATTATCTCAGGGTGCGTAAAATGCAATTAATATGTATTTTAATCAAGCGCAAGATCATGGGGATAGTGGCAGAGATATTATACTGGACGTTGATCCTGAAGCCGTTAGGAAAGGAGTACGATCGCTTATGCAACAAGTTGCTCAAATCGAACGCGAGAGAGTACGTTAGACTTTGACGATTATTCATAAGTGAAATATATAAGCTGATTTTTATTATGATAAAATAACGATAGTTTAATGTTACAGGATGATCATAAAACAGAGCTGTGTAGCTTGAAGAAGCAACTGAAGGAGTCTCAAGAGAACCAAAGCAACACAGATGTAAAAGTCACCAATCTTTTGACTAACATTCGGATGCTTCAGGAAGAGAAGAAATCTATGGAAGCAAAACTAACTCAAACACAAACTAGCTATCAATCACAGGTATATATTTTCTCTATAGGTTTTACATTTCACTAAAGAAAGATTAATATTTTCATATACTTTCAGCTAGATGCATTCCAGCACAAGACAGAGGAGTGTGAACAATTGTGTGAAAAAGTTACAACCTTAGAGATAAAGATGAGTACTGAGTCGGACGAGAAGTCTCAGTACGAGGTGCGATCTATAAGAAATATTCTCACAACTACTACATACAATCTCTCAGTACATATAACTTTGCGTTTGTTTAGGATAAGCTAGAGAAAATGAAACAAGAATTGAACAGGTTGGAAATGGAGAAGCGTAATCTTCAGAAAGAGGTCCGTCACAGCGATTCTCGTGCAACAGAAATGGAATTGCACAGAATGTCTCTAGACGGTGATCTCCAAAGATTGCAAATGATGCTTCAAGAAAAAGAAGCGCACATTCAAGTAAGATGGAAACACACTTGCACAAAGTATTTGAATTACAGCAATATTTTGTGAAAAATACCATATTCGAATCAATACATTAATCGTGTCAGTCCACAAAGACAATTTATTCTCGTGAGGTTTAGGAATTTTAATTTATTACAATAAACTTAATAAATGCTGCTCTTTTTAGAAACTACAAGACCGCTTTGATACACAAAGCCGTACCATGGCGAGTTTAGAGGAACGTTGCGCTTCGTTAAAATCTACTATAGAACAATTAAAACTATCGTTGGAAAAAGCATCTGCTACGGAAAGCGAGCTCAAGAGTGAAATAAATTTATTGCAACACAATGTAATGGAGGTCACTACTACATCTCAAAGTAACAATGAAAAACTCAAGCAGGTAAGAGATCATCAATAAAAGTTGCTCCTCTCTAAACTATAAATCGACATTCACGTATTTTATTTCAGCTGCAGAAACAGCTTTCGAATGCCGAAAATGATCGTAGAATATTATCCGAACGTTTGGAAACGGCTCAGCAAACCTTGAACAATGTAAAACATACCAATCAGTCATTAATTGATCAAAATACACGGCTGCAGAATGAGCTAGCTAATAATGAAGTACAGCGATCGGCTTTAGAATCGCAATTAAGATTGTCCACGTGGCCACCGGAAGGCAGCACGACTAAAGACGATGAACTATTGCGTCAATTGCAGACTGCTCAAAGAGAAAGAAGCGAGATGAGAGGAAAAGTAGATGCTCTCAACGACAAGGTGAGAATAATTATGCTCTGACAAATATCGCAACAACTAAGGAATGGTATATTGACCTATTCATATTAACTAAACATATCTTTTCGTTAGGTGAAGCTATTAGAATCTGACAAACGTAATTTAGAGCGTCAGATCACTTCGGGCAAGTCTAGCGGTATTCGAAGCAAGAGTTACGAACGTCCGGAAAAGGCACATATAGAACTCCTAGGCACTAGTTACAGCCTCGACAACTTGGAGCATGAAAATAGAGAATTGAGATTGAAAATACGTAAATTGGAGACTCAATTAGCGGAGAAGGAGACCGAGCTTATACGCATAAAATCAACTTATATCCATTCCTCTCATCCGCTATTGGATACGAGCCGTGATAGAAGCGGAGAATTAGAACGGATCAGAGCCGCGCAACTGCAAGCCGAGAAATTATTAGAGGCGAGAGAACAGAGCCATCGTCAGCAAGTATCACGTTTGGAAAATCAGGTATATATCTGTATATTATTTCATATTATTTTTGTGATATAGTACACCGTCTATTCGTAAAATGTATCGTTACTTAGTACACATAAATATGTAAATAAACCTGACGTCTTCTCGCAGATACAATTGCTGCGGGAGCAGCTCAATCAAGAGATAAAGCGCAGGCAACTGTACGTTTTACGGAGCTCGCGAGCCGGCAGAGAAATGCAACAATTGCGACAAGCGTTGGGCGACTCTTTGAGAACCGTGGCGCAAGATCCGTCGCTGGACGCGATGTTACTGGAGCACGAAGCGCGTAAATTGGACTCTACCCTGACGAGTAGCAGTAGCCTACCGCCGTCATTAGCTTTACCTGCCCCATCGTCCTACAGATCCGGCACTCCGTCGCAACTCAAATAATGCAACTTTCTCCGAAAACTGCCAGTATATACACATATATCAAGCGTAGTACTTACATATTCTGAGTGCAGTACTTGTATACTACACTTAGATATTTATATCAGTATATGGGTACTTGTAAGTTACGTTTCTCGAGGGTACGGAGTACAATTAACTCTCGCGTATATAAGACTATTGCTCGGCGAGCGATCGGGCATTGCGTACTGAGGTCACCAGAGAGTGAGCATACAAGATGATCAAACTACCGCGATGAATTCATAGCACCCCTTGATATCTTATAATTGGGACAATCGCGGATTTTTCGATGACTATATTTCATTTGATACACAATCTTTTATATTGAACATATATTGAATTTTTTACGCCTTTACTTAATACGAATTTTATGCTTCCAATGATTAACACTGGAGAATCGAGATATATTTCATACAGTTTATTAATGATGTATGTCAAGGTTTTTGTGATATACTAAATTAATAGTAATTTAACTTGCAACTTTGTTTCACTACTTGGACTCTATCGATTATAAAGAAATCGTACGGAAGTCTGCAATACCCAATAATTAGCAAACACAACAATCATTCGATTGTAATCCATAACGCATCTAGAACAAGGAATATATTAACGTGCTAACATAATTTAAGCACACTAGTCCATTGAATACTAGTCCACAATCCGTCCATTGGTATCGTTACTGACCAATTTAAATCACGAATTTATTTAGACATTGACATGTACGATATATTAATTTTGTGTCAGCAAGGACATATTGAGGGAGTAAAGCGGGTACTACACGCTGGTGATTCGTATAATGAGAATGCGTATAGCGAGATGCTTGTAAAAGTAGGCGGCAACAGTAAAGAGAAAAGATGCTATGTTTAGTCTCGTTTCGAGACCGAAGTAAATGAGCAAACAGGAGCATTGTAGAGATTACGCTTCCGATTATCAGATAGATGCAAAGCCACTGAGTACATTTTACTAAGGTAAAAGCGTAGAGAACGGCGCGCTGTAATAGTGAGGAGCGAACTTACAAAGTACAGACATAGATGACAGCGAGACGGACTGTGTCTGTTCTTTATTACTGAGAATATAGACATTCAGTCCTGCAAATGTAGCCTAAATGTAGCCTGCCTCGGTTGAGCCGTCCGGCGTTGTGATACGGAATGGCCGAAAGCGTTAAGGAAATGCCATTTTAACGCTTCGTGCGTTTGCGGCGCAAAATTTTACCCCCCGCCCCGAGCGTAAGATATCGAAGAAAACAAACCGACACCGTCAAGGATCTTGTTCAAGTTGGCTCGATTATCCGCAACGAGGAAGACCGATCCTCTTGGCGAAATTTGCATTTCTCTTTCCTTTTATGATATCGCATCTCGAATTCACAAATCAAGCATTGTCATTGATATCGGAGGAAAGTCCTCTATTATGAGATTGGATTCTAATACGAGACAGCAGGTTCCCAGCGTCCAAATTCAGTCGCAAATTATTTTTCGCAACGATTACACGATCCACACGATTAGTTTTCCACTAAACAGACTTCGCGCCAATGGCAATAAATTCACGGTGGAATCAACAGATGATGCCCATCAATTTAGCGGAAACTCTGCTATCTCATATTAGGGACCTCTCTCTCTCATGATAGACTTTCCTCTACCAATCTCGCGAAGATATTTTCACGCCGTATTTAACTGAAATGAGAGTTTATCGAAAAAAAAACGGACGCTTTTAGATACGGAGTCATGTAGAAATATTATATGTTGTGACATCGTTAAATCGTGTTTTATATTCACGTTCACATTTTTAGAAATATATAAATATATATATACATAAAGCATAATCTCGCAAATCTTGAGAATATCATTGTTATATCATTAAGTTATATATTTGAAAGTAAATATCACTCACGGCTACTGCGCCTTTCAATTGTGTCTCCTCTCTCCCCGCTGCTCTCTTACGGCCGCCCCCCGCCGAGAAATGGACTCGTCGATCGACGTCGATTTGCCGGCGCCGATACCGATTCGGCATCTATTCGACATCGATTCTCACTTGGCTGTCGCTCCTGGAGTCCTGGGGATCGACGCTGTATCTTTTACGCTGTAGCGAGAATGTTAAAAGTGAAATAGTTTTGTCTCTTACCTGCTGTTCTGGCGCCGATCTGTCTCGGGTGCCTCGCGTCCAAAATGGCGACGAAACTCGAAGACGCGCGGCAAATTCAGGCTGACGTCACGCGATGCAACGCAAGTCAAATTAGCAACTCCAAGTGCGAATAATAGCAGAGACAACCTGGGAGACCGTGTCGCAGAATTACGCGTGAATCACGCGGGATTTTGATGCAGAGAGAAGCCTGAGAGCCGTCAAGAGCCGTCGCGGCCCGGTTTTACGTCCGATCCTCGCGAACGCGATGCGCCCTCTGTGATCGTTGAAAACGTGAACGTCAACTACGTATAGCCAATGTTCGGACTATGCGGATAATGCAGATGTGCAGGTTTTGGTTGTGCTCCGTGCTATGAATGTCGATAAGAGAGTTATTGATCTTTTGTTATGCGAACGAACAGACCAACTTGTAGAGGCCCGCCACAATCCTCTATAATTATTATAATGTTTCGCAGAGAGCGATCGCGATTTCTTCCCGTACTCGTCGCGAACGTGTGTCAAGAACGACTGAATACGATATGCGGAACGGCGCGGGCACAACTGACTCGTTCAACTGTCGCCACGCGAATAGTCCTGCGTACGGCGTGACCTTTTTTCACCGCAAACAAAACTCGGCCGCCGAGCTCTGGTTCCAAGAAATGACGTAGCGGCATTGACCGAGCGGCGTAAACAACTCGGTCGCCGAGCGCTTTTTTACATTCCAAAATATGACGTAGAACATCTCGGGTGTGGGGTGACCTCGGTCGAAAACGGTCTATTGTGCTTAGTTATTCGGCGCGAGTCAGTCGAGCGAGGCGGGTATCCCGCGCGTCTTCGCATCGCTCCTCGTAACGCGATTATTTACTACGAGAATCCCGATCATCTTGTACGCGACGCGATCGTCTCGTACGCGAGCTATTAACATATCTATCCATCGCGTAGGCCCGAGAAAGGCCTCGGGTACTGGCGTGTTTCAAGTTTACTAACTTTTACTCTAATTGATCAATTTTCAATCTAATCTCAATCTCAACCCGCAGTTTGATTCGAGTTTAAAGCCAACGGCATACGATACAATTTTTCCTACTGGATCGCTTACGAGAGCCAATCAGTACGGAAATTCTGTAACTTGCTATCGAGATTTTTCGATAACGTTAACGGGGAACAACCAATGAAAATCTGCGTCTCTTTCGAAGATCGTCTCGCCATTGGCTGTCGCTAGTTAGCGATACCGAAAGGCATCGATTGCAAGTTATAGAATTCCCGTACAGTAGCGCGATTCTGTAACTCGTTATGTCGTCGTTACGGGCTTTGCGCAGCTTTTCTACGGTATATTAGATCTGCGCAAAGCCCGTAACGACGACACAACGAGTTAGTCCCAGTCTACAATAGATGATTTAAGCCCTAAGCTTTAAGAAATTGGCCAATCACGGTCAAGTATGAGTAGAATGCGCGACTGTGATCAGTCAATTTCTTAAGGCTTAGGGCTTAAATCTCTATTGTAGACTGGGACTTACAGAATCGCGCTACAGGGGGTGCTTTCGCGATAGATCAAAATGATCCGTGCTATGATTGGTCAAATCTGAAATTTCGTAGCATCACATTGAAATTTTATTCAATGGCCGCGTTCAGCAGACACAACTGTTGAGTGAGCGCTCAATGATTTCTTAACATGATTGGCTGGATCTCAAAGTATTAGCCAATCATACTGAGCGCTCACTCAACAGTTGTGTCTGCTGAACGCGGCCAATGAAATTCCAGATTTGACCAATCATAGCACGAATCATTTTGATCCGGATCATTTTGATCTACGTCGCGAAAGCACCCCGGGATGCGGAGTTTTCGATCAGGTGGCTCAAAGCTGAATCATGATTGGTTCAGTAGGAAAAATCGTATCATGTGCCGTTGCCTTAAGACTGAATCCTGATTGGCTCTCGTAAGCAATCGAGTAGGAAAGTAGTGTCGTGTGTCGTTGGTTTTAGTCATGGACCTAAGAATCTCTGGACCGAGCATACGGCGAGGGGGCTGTTAAATTCGCGGTAAGGGGAGGATAGTACTGTCTCTTTCTACAAGAGGTCACCGTCGGGTATTTCCGCCGTATATCCGATGATTCCCGAAAGACTAGACAAGTCTATACTCGCTAATTTCTGAAGTCCAGAGATCCTTACGTCCATGTTCCCGTCGAGAAATTATTATGTATAGACTATACACAAACTTCGACTATCTTCGGTTACATTCGTCATCAAGCCGAATGTGACCTCTTGTAGAAAGAGATACCAAGAGGACAGAAAAGGAGAGCACTCTCGCCCCCCTTACCGCAAATTTAACAGCCCCCTTGCCCGTCCTCCCACTTCGTGCTCGGTCCAGAGATTCTTAGGTCCATGGTTTTAGTCTATGGCCAAGCCACGCTGCCGACGCGGCGGCAGTGACGATCGACGCATGCGTGGTACGGCACGATTTGAATTTGAACGAAACAACGAGCGTTCAGTATTCACTCTTCCGCCGACTGTTTGACGACGTTTGGCTCGCGAGTGCGCATCTCGGGTTCGATGCTGGACACACGGCCTCCGTCCTGGATTGTTGATTGTCGCCAGAATAAAAGGACAGCTCGTGATGTCTGACAGCATTAAAGTGGCCATTAAAGTCCGGCCGCTCATCAAGCGAGAAAAGGACGAGAATTTATCGATACAATGGGTGTCCCAAGGAAACACCATCGTGGCCACCGACGCCGATTTGAGGAAGCGAGCCGATGGGCGATTCGAGTTCGGTAAGTTAATATTACGAAGAGTCTCGAAACGCGCATTCAGAGGACGTTTTATTTGTCCTGGCATAACCGACAATTCTTCATCCTCGATGAGGAATTTTCTCCCACGGTCGTATCTTTTGACAGTTTTCGTTCTTCTCGTTTTCCACCAAGGACATGTTTGCTTTCACTGTAGAAACAAAAAATGTAAACACGTCGCGAAGTAACTCTACAGCAAGTTGTATCGGTAGTGCAATTTCGATGTGATTCGTGTGTCGCGTGGGGTTATGGTCTGACCTCGACCGGCGTCTAGCCGTTCCCTTGTTTCCCAACGCCTGACTTCCACAATTATTGTATCCATCGAATTATTTGTATCAATACATGATGTATTTGTAGATCACATTTTTGATGTGAACGCCAGCAATAATGACGTGTTCGACAATGTCGTGAGGCCTATTGTGGACGCTGCTGTAAATGGATTCAACGGTACAGTATTTGCTTACGGGCAAACAAGCTCTGGCAAAACGTATACTATGATGGGTATAGAGGAAGAACTCGGTATAATACCCCTAGCTGTTGAACATATGTTCGATGCGATAGCCAACACCCCAGGACGCGAGTTCTTATTGAGGTTAATATGTCTACATTACGATAAGACGTTGCAATTTCTCAAGCTTTTCTACTTCTACAAACTTTTGTGCAAGACCTAACGCTGATAAGAGCATTTTGACAAAATGTTAACTTTTGCAGGGTATCATACTTGGAGATTTATAACGAGAGAGTCAACGATCTCTTGTGCCAAGCCTCGAAAGACTTGAGAGTACACGAGGATATCAATGGCCAGGTGTTCGTTAAGTGTAAGGAAGAGGTTACAAATTGCCCAGAGAATGTCCTTTCAATAATGCATAAGGGTAATAAAAATAGAAGGATAGGTGAAACAAACATGAACGAGCGAAGCAGCAGGAGCCATACAATATTTAGAATCGTAAGAATATCAATTTTCCTTAATATTATATGTAAAACTTTGAAAGAATTATTACATAAAGTAATCTGTACCGTGAAAATCTTGACAAAAATGGCACATTGCAGACGATTGAAAGTCGAGAAGCTGCTGACTCGGATGGTGCAGTTCAAGTTTCGCAATTAAATATGGTAGATCTCGCTGGTTCAGAGAGAGCACATCAAACTGGTGCTACTGCAGAACGTTTTAAAGAAGGACGTCACATTAACTTGTCGCTGTCTACATTGGGTTTGGTAATAAAACAGTTGAGTGAATCGCAAGACTCCCAAAAATATATAAATTTTCGAGACAGCAAGTTAACGAGGCTGCTTCAAGCCTCTCTAGGAGGGAACGCGATGACGGGGATAATATGTGCAGTAACACCGGCTGCACTAGATGAAACACAATGCACATTATCGTGAGTATTTTTGCTTCTTGAGTTGTTTAACATGTATTAATGTAAATATATTGTAACGGATATTTTATTTTTTAATCAACAGGTTTGCAGCTAGAGCTAGAAACATCAAAAATACCCCTCAACTGAATGAAGTTATGTCTGATGGTGTACTTTTAAAACGTTATGCGAAACAAATAGACAAATTACATTCAGAGTTAGAGGTAAGTATATTATGGATATTAAAACGTATAAAACGTTGGAAGGATTTCAGACTTCGAAGAGTATATGTAGCAAGATAGTGGTAAATAGTCACTTTTTTTGAGAGGTACAGTTAAATAAAAACCAGGTGGTTCTGGTTGGATTTGAACACGGATCTTTTTTTTCACGTGTCTAAGCACATCCCTCTGCACCACGCTTGCTACAAGAACATGTATTTATCAACACGATACATTAATTTTCTCAGAGAATGAAGCAGCTGACTCAAACTGCTGATTTTCAAGAAATGGAATCCAAGATGCAGGAAAAAGATCGCATTAACCAGAATCTGGAAGAACGGATTAGATTGTTGCAAACTCGTATTGTCACTTCAGCTAATTGTAATAACACAGTATCATTTAAAACTAAAAAGGAAAAAAGGAGACGGACTTGGTGCGGCACCGGTGGATACAAAGCAAATACATCTGCATTTCAAATGTGCCCGAATTTGTCACCAATCAAAGAAATGTCGCCTATGAAATCACGTAAAACAAAACCAACTGACATTAGTGATATATGTATGTTCATACCGTTTTGCACGATTCAAATTGAATATTTTGATCAATTCAAGTATAAGTTGAAACATGTTATTCTTCCAGCGTTCGAAATAGCTTTTACTGATTTTGAACTAGAACTGATGAAGCAAGCAAATAGTAACGAGGAGAACGATAGCGATGAGGACAACTTTGTAACATATCGTAAGCGGTGTGTTACATTTATGGATAATGTAATTGACAAATCGCCTGTAAACAGCAACAATAATAGCACTGCATCTGAGAAAGTTGATATGTCTACTCAGACTCAAAGGTAAATTTGGTTCAAAAAAATTAATTTATATGAGTTGTTTTTCTTTTTATTATATTAATCATTATTTATTATAACTAGCTATCCATCATCACCTGGTACACCAAAGCAAACTCTACGAGACACAATTCGTAGCTTAACAAAGGAATATGCACAGCTTCAAGAGTTTACCACCTTAGAGAAACAATTATTCAATGAAGATCAATTTTCTGAACACCAGGAAAAAATTGCAAGGTTTTCACAGTTAGAAAAGCAGCTGGAAAATATTAAATCTGATAAAGATTCTTTCGAGTACATAGCATCTGAACTTCGTAAAAAGTTAACTGCAGCTGAATTACGTTATACTTCGGCAGAAGAGCAATTAAACGCGCACACGGTAGAGCTACAAAGAGTACTAGATTTAGAAAAGAAGGTCGCCCAATTATCTGCGTATGAAACAGAAGTGCAAAACGTTCCAGAATTACAAAAACAGATAGTCCTTCTTACAGCTGAAAAAGATGGATATGAACATGTTGCATCTGAACTGCGAAAAAAACTTACGGAAGCTGAACAACACAATATTTTGTTACAGGATAAATTAACAACACAGAATGGTGAATTAGAAGAACCACTTATAGAATTTTCGTTTACTAAGGAGATTATTTCTTCCGAAAAAGATGAATTACAATGTAAAATAACTGATTTGCAAAATAAATTAACAGAAGCAGAATTAAGCAATAATTTAATGAAAAATACACTGGATGAGCAACAACTAATAAAAGATTCAATAAAAAGTAAATTAGATGCACAGGAGCAGTATATACAAAAGGCTTCCAACCAGAATGAGATGCTTGCAATCGAGAAAAATGAATTTAAAGGTATGATTAGTGAATTGGAAGAGAAATTGAGAGAAGTAGAACTAATGAACAGTTCACTAAAAAATCAATTAAATGAGTATGAAGCAACAAGTATGTGTAAAACTGACAATTCAGAGCTTACTCTTACATCTGAGAATAAGTCTGAACAGATTATTTCCGAATTGCAAAAGAAATTACAGGAAGCAGAATCGTATAATAATACAATTAAGGAGGAATTAAATGTTCGTCAAGTGGAAGCAGAAAAAACTATTGAGAAACAGAGGACATCTGCTGAAAATTTTGCAGTTGAAAGAAATAAATTGGAAGAAACCATTCATAAGCTGCAAGAAAAGTCAAAGGAAATGGAATTCGACAATAATTTAATGAAGGATAGACTAAATGAACAGGAATTGCAGTTGCAGAAGAATCGTGAGATGGAAAAAGAAATTGAAGATCTTACGTTGAAAACAAAAGAATTCGAGTTTTTTGTTCACGAGTTGACAGAGAAATTAGCTAATGCTCAGCATGGTACTTCAATAAAGGATGAAACGAATGGAGAAGAATTCCATAAGATCCAGCTAGATGCGCAATGTGCAAGTCCAGTTCCTGAAAGAAATGAACAACAAAATGTGGTGCAACAACAATCGAAGAGTCCCGGAAAGGACTTTGTAGACAGTCAGAGCAGAGACGAAGTTAATCACCTAAAAAGTCATATAAATGACTTGCAAAATATTGTTCGAGATATACAGAACGAAAATACATATTTGAAAGAACAGGCAGCGAAATCGACATCAGATAACGAGTACAACTTGAACAACGGTGACTCGTCGAGAGTTATAGATGACTTATCAATTACGAGGATGTCTCTAGACGAAGATAGCGTTAAGTTATCTGCAGATCTTGTTTTGAAAAATCAGGAATTAGATGAAATAAAGCATGATGTGCAAAGTTTGAAAGCGGATATAGAAAACTTACAGCAAACTATATATTTATTAACAACCGAGAACAGCGAATTGGCAAATAAGTGGACTACTGAGAAGGAGTGTAACGAGAGATCGGCTAATCAATTTCAGCAACTCATCGATGAGCTTTATACGCGAAATTCTAAGATAATGGACGAAAAACTCGAGCTGGAGAATAATGTATCAAGTCTTAATGAACAATTAGAATACTTCCGCTCGAGAACGCCCGAGGTAGACTTGAACGAAGAGCAGATAATTCACAAGTATGAGGAACAGATCAATGCATTGACAGCAAGAAATACAGAATTGTTGTCCAACATTACAGACAAAACGAAAGAACTCGAGATGTTGAAAGAGAGTAAGTCGCTTCTGTATGAACACGATTGTACATACAAGGATAAATTAATGGATCTTAAGGAAAAACATGAATATTTAACAGTTGAAAACAATGAACTTTCCACAGATTTAATGGACAAGATCGAAGAGAACGAAGGATTAAGGCAAGAGTATGACATTCTGAAAAGTAAACTGGAATTATCATTGACGAATAAAGAGAGTATCAGTAACAATGATGCGGAACAGCTGAGAACAGAGAATACTTTATTAAAAACCGAAGTGATGGAACTGAAAGCTAACGTAAAATCTTTAACTGAAGAAAACTCGAAAATGTCCAATCAATTAATAGAAGCCATAGAAGACCTAGATAATATACGAACGTTTAATTCGATTTCTTGCAACAATACCATGCATCTGTCGACTTTATTTAACAATGATACAATGGATAAATCTATATTAAACGACAATGCCGAAGTAAAACTTTTAAGTCTGCAAGAGCAAGTTGATCATCTCACGCATCTCAATAAAAAGCTTAGCGATTTAAAATTAAGTCCCTGTACTCAGTGCACCCATTTGAACGAGTTAAATGAAAGTCGAAGAATGCTGAAGCTGGAAGTGAAGACTCTCAGTCGCAAATTGGAGAGCTTGCAGAAAAAATTCAACAGCAAATCTGCAAAGAGCGATGCACTTATACTGAAGGCTAAAGAAGACGTTAACGTAAGTGTGTGCAATTTATCTCTTAATGCCAGTTTTTCGGAGAACATGAATGTCAGCTACGTCGAAGAGAGACTTCAAACTCTAACTAATGAATTACAAATTTTGAAAGAGGATCATAATAAGCTGTCGGATTTATATCAAGAAAAGTGTAATGAAGTTGAAGAGCTGCAAAATAGTACGATCACGGATTCAACAACCAATGATGTGAATTCCAGCATTAGGAAATCCCCAAGTAGGACTTCATTGAGACTAGAAAATATCGTGGAAGTTATGAACAATTTGCAAATTGATTTCAAGAAGATAAAGGAAAACAATGCAAGTGTCAAGTCAGATCTTACGAAGTTCATTAACGAGAAAGAATCACTAGTGGAAGAAATTAATACATTGAAGACTGCTAATGATCAGTTGTTGCAGAAATTGTCGGAAAGTGAACTCATGCATACCACTGCTTTGGAGAAAGCCGATATTCTCGAAAATGAGATACAAGATATAACGAAAAAACTACAAGAATTTACTGTAAAATACAAAGAGATTGAAAATGCAAAGTTGCTCCTGGAAATCGACACTGAAAGTTTAAAAGAAGATAAAGAGAGGAAAGAACAGACAATAAACGATTTACGTCAAAGCTATTCCTGCTTAGAACACGAATTAGATCTAGTTAAGAAAGAGAAAGAAGCGTTGAACAACGATATTGTTCTTATGGAGCACAAATATACGGAAAAAGTAGAGTCACTAGAGGAAACGAACAAGCAGTTAATCAACTCTAAAGCAACTATCTCGGAGGAATTCGCTAATTATTCTAAAGAATCGGAAAATAGACTGACGGAACTTAATGAAAAGATAAACAAGTGCACTTTCGAGAACGATTACCTAAAACAGGAATTGATCAAGCTGCGCGATATAGAAGATAAATTTGAGATGATAAAAACTGAATACCAATCCAAGTTGCAACAAGATAAAACATTAGCTAACGATAACAAGAAACTGAAAAATGTATTGAACGACGCTTCTAAGAACATCATCAAGGAGATCAAGTCTTTCAAACCTAATCTCGATACGCAGGAATTCGTGGATAAATCGGTAGATGAGCTATTTCAGGTATTCCTGGAGACTATTATGATGAAGGAGAAGGAAATTGTAAAGAGCATGCGAGAGTTTTTCGCTAAAGAGAAGCAAAAACTCGAGGATCAAAATCGGCAGACAATGGACGCAGAAAAACGTACGTCTCTGTGGGCGAAAGAACTGGAATGCGAGATAGAGAAACTTCAGAAGGACTTGTCCGAACGAGAAATTGCATCCGAGGGTTTGCGGAAAGAGATTGCGCGCTTGGAACAACTTTTGCAAGAGGGTAATCGCGACAGAGAGATATTGAAAGAGAAGAATAGCCTGCTCGAGGCAGATCTTACTAACTTACAAATTGAATACAATAAAAATTCCAAGATCGACACGGTGAATGAAGAGGCGATTATTATCGCGCAGAAACGAGAGAAGCAAGCTCAAGAGGCGGTTAGAAATAAAGAAACAGAATTTCAAATGAGGTTGAATTCGGAGAAAGAGGCGTACACTAAGCGGCTCGAAGATCTCACGCGCACAATAGAGTCGTTTAAGACGAAAAACATGGAACTGACCAGTAACATCGAGGGTCTTGAGGCTAATCAGAAGCAACTGAAGAACATTATCGACCTAAAAAGTAACGAGTTGATGAAAAACAATCAAATCATTCAAAACATGCGGTCCGAGCTGGAACAGTTCACGGAAGCTTGCAACGATTTCCACAAGGAACTGGAAACGAAGGAGTTACGTATTACAGAAATGAGGACACTTCTGAAGACTAAACGCGACGAGCTGACAGAGTATAAAGCTAATCTCGAGATAATCGAGCCCGAGAACAAGTTGTTGAAACAACAGCTCAGCGAGAGGAAAGCCAGCATAGAACAGTACCGGATGGAAATAGAGACTCTGAAAATGAAAAACAAGGAGGAAATTGACGCGATTAAAGATCGATTGAATTTCGAGGAGCTGAAGAATATCGAACTGAACAAGCAAATAGCTGAATTGAACAGCAAGAGTGTAGCCTCGGCGGAAGAGGTGAACGTTCTAAGAGACAATTACGCGACATTACAACGTAAGTGTGCGACGTTAGAAAAGCGAGTGAGAAATAGTACGAGTAAGGTCCTGGCTGAAGAGCAAATGGAAGAGCTAAAAGACTTAAATAGATCTTTGCGAAATAATTTGGACGGTGCTAGTAATCGGATAGTGGAGTTACAAGCTGCAAAAGGTGATCTGATGAAGCAAATGGTTATTTTAAATAGCCAATACGACATGGCATGCAAAGACAATCAGGAATTGAAGGAAGCGCTGTCATCGTTCAAGTCAAGGCATAACGACACGTACACAGCCTGCGACAAGTACGACGATTTGCTACGAGAGAAGAACCAAATTGCATTAGACTTAGAAGCGACAAAGGTTCAGTTGAATCAGAAGAACAAAGATATCGAGAATTATATTAAGGAGATAAAGGAATTGACAAAAAAGAATGCAGAACTGGATCAAGAAATGGACGACTTGGTAAAAGTTATTCATGACCACGACGCTGAGAACGCGAGACTTGAAGATAAGTTCTATACGTGTCGTAACGAGGTAGACGAGTTACAAGAGAAGATCAAAGCTCTTGAGACGAAGGATCAAAATGATCAATCGCAAACAAGCGCGTCGTCCTCCGACAAGGCTGAAAAGTCTCACGATGAGTGCAGTTGCGCGACGTTGAAAAACAAGATACGGGAGTTGCAGCTGGAGATTGTGTCGAGGAATGGAAAGATCGCGACGTTGGAGCTGCAAATACGTAGCGGAAGTTTCCCTTATCAGACGAAGTGCAAAGAGCTGCAGGAACATCTGTCAGCGTATAGTAACAAGGTATTTTGTCGTACTTTAATTAACATGAACGTTATTACGATGGTAAGTACAAACGTAATCGCACTATCATAAATGTGCATTCTTACAGAATAGCGAGTTAAAAGCGGAACTTAAACGACTGCGAATGGCCATGTTATGTACAAGCGCGAAGGAATGTGATGTATGCAAACAGAGACTTGTTAGTAGGAGACATCAAGCGTGTCAAACCATGCCGAACAACGTATTACGATTTTGTGGCACGAGCAGCGGCATAATCGAAGTAAGTGTATGTCGGTACCTCCGAATTGGAGCAAACAATGTTTGCTTACTTTTCTTCCTCGTGTATTAGGCTTAAAGCCTGTTATCCAGTTCTCGTTCTGGTGCTTTGAGCATTTGGGTTTATTCCATCTTCGGTAGGCTGCTAACCTTGCCGAAGAAAACCTCCGATTTGGAGGGGTATGCGTGGCAAGATACTCTCAGTGGTTGCCACTTTCCTTCGGGAGATTCCGAAAAACAAACCAGCAGTATCCGTGGATTTGAACTCGAATCTTCTCGTGCATTTGTTTACGAAGCAGCACACATGTCTCTGCGCCACGCTCGCCACCTATCACTACACATCATTATTAATTATTGATATTTTATACAATGATATGATTTTAGGAGCACGTAAGAATAACAAAGTTGGAGAAAGAGAAGCAGATTATGAAGGATGTGTGTCGTTCTCGATCCAAAACTATAAAAGAACTCGAAAAGAAAGTAGAGGAATATGAGAAGTTGTTGTGTCCTCAACATGCGTAATCTACGAAGACATTTTATCCTGTTAACATTATGTAATTTATGGCCTTCTAGTAATATGTAAAAACAACTTAATCTAAAGTTTCCAACATATAGAATGTATAAAATGCAAGTATCGCACTCTCTCTTAATGTTACGATGTTATGATATAATTTCATATTTTTATAATGCAAAGATACAAATTCGATTACTTATTTTATAACTTATAATTGACAAAAGTATATTATTTATTTAATAAATTATATATATGTATAATTTATTTTATCGACTAAATAATATACTTTTGTCAATTATAAGTTATAAAATAAGTAATCGAATTTGTATCTTTGCATTATAAAAATATGAAATTATATTATAACATCGTAACATTAAGAGAGAGTGCGATACTTACATTTTATACATTCTATATGTTGGAAACTTTAGATTAAGTTGTTTTTACATATTACTGTCATTATATCATAACATCGTAACATTAAGAGAGAGTGCGATACTTATACATGTATATAATTTATTTTATCGGCTAGATAATAACATTATGAATTTTATTGATAGATAATGCCAATATATTTTCAATTTTCTAGTTTTTAAGATAATATGACTTCTGTGATATAAAAATAATACTTTTCAGAACATAGAGTGTATATAAAAATATATGGCCAAGTAATAAGAATTAAATTACGTGCCTTCTGATGATAGTGTACTGTTTAGTTTTACATGATATTCATTATATGTATATATATAGTTTAAAAAACAATAGTAATATTGTATCGTAATTGTTTATCACAACACCGTTTTTAAAGTAAACTGCATAATAGTTAAAACAGTAAAAACAATAAACAGACTGATTGATTTCTTTTCTATTCTGCAATATATATATATAAATTTCATTTATCAATTCTCGTGCAATCTTTACTGATTTCATTCTGTATTCAGAGTCTGTTTTCTGTTTTCTGACAAATTATATTTTCAGTTATACAAAATAATACAAATTTGACAATCAATTCTCAGGTAGTAATATCTAAAAGATTTTTATAACAAGAAAATGGAATATTTTAATTTAAATTCAATTTTGTTTAGAGTACACATTATCAAAATTAAATTTCTATGTACATAATTAAAATATTGACTATATAAAAACTGTGTGTAGAACATTTCTTTTATACAAGTGGGAACTTTAAATATAATTTCTAACTATATTGGATTACTGTCTTCCATATATTTTTCTTACTTTTTAATAAATGTATTCTAGTAATTAACAGATTGATAAAGAGTATATTCTGTGAAAATACTCTATAGCACTGTCTTTCTGTAGAACGCATGTAGTACTGTACACAAAAAGTGAGAAAAGGCTGAGAGCTATATATATATATAATCTTCCAGAATGCAAATTTAAAGCGTGTGATTAATGTTTTCATTTATATCTTATATATTTCAGAAAAGTGTTAATTGTAAATTTTAACAAGTTCAGCATATGTCATATATCATTTTATTTTCGAAATACTTTGCTGACAAATTATTTAATGTTATTTGAAGATTTGTCGAGTTTTGCTTTCTTCGTTTTGTACCTCGTTACATGCTTGTGTGGCCTCTTTGTGCCAATTTTTGTTTGGAACAGATCTGAAAAAATCACATTGTTACATTTCAGCATCCAAGTTGAATATCTAAATCTATTATTAAAAATATTAATTATTAACATAGTGTATATTTACCTTTATCAGGTTCTTCTCCTACTTCTTCACGATAATACTGCGCATCGTCATCTTCTTCTAGTTCACTCTTTTCAGTAGAGTCCTTTGCGAGTTTTTGTAGCAGTATATCGCTTTCTCTCTTCTTCTGAATTCCCTTCAACGATTTCTCTTTGTTTTCTTGCTTCTGTGCATCTTTCTTCTTTCTATTTTCTTCCTGCAGTCTCTTTCTTTTCTCCTTCAATTTCTTCTTCTCATCTCTTTTCTTTTTTATAGCGAGTTTTTCCTCTTCCGTTTTGTGTACGAACTCATGGAAAAGTATTTCACCATCGAGAAGTCCATTCTCCACTTTGATTAACTAAAACAATTTTGGTTAACGTTAGAAAGATATAAAATAAATACCCATAATTTTATTGCGTTCATTGATCTCAATTAGTTCTCTAACCTGCAACGTTATTCTCGGTCCCAGTTCGTATAATCTAATTGCACTCTTGGAATTAGCTTGATTCCCTCTTGAAGACAGTTTTTGTGATAGCGTGACATGACTGCTTTCGTCATCTTCCGCTTCACTTTCGGACATGGACGGTTTAGTTAAAAACTCGGAAATATCTTGACACTTGGCTAAATTCGGTACTTTAGCTTGCACTATTTTTTTAATGCCTCTTGATAAACCTACAGGTACAGCTTTGATCGCATAGTGTCTGAAGTCAATGGTTTTCGACGTCGTGTTGTAATTCAAGCATATACAACGACGAATGGTGCTCAAATTAACCTGTTAAAACGTCGCTTTTCAAATTAATGCTTCTTAAATTGATTGTTTTATAAAACTGCATTTCCCAAATTGATTGCTTTGCAAGACTTACTGTAGTCAGGTTTATAGTTGGAAACATGTTTTGGAAAGTGGAAGCTATGAGTTTCAGGTGCATGCCCTCACCACTGAAATTATTTAGAACCAACAGAGGAGAAGTTTTGAAGGCTTCCTCGTACACCAGCTGCTTCTTTAACATGGATACAACGTCTCGTGCTAAGGAGAAACTATGTATCTTGAAAGTAAGTGTGGGTCCTCTGGGCAACCTGTAATGAATATTTCAGAATATTATCTGATCAATCGATTTACAAATTAATTAATTTAAATGATCTCCCTGGCGAGAGTTTACTGATAAATTTTATTAAAATAAATGCAGTACTTGCAAATCTTGAGGTACATTCCCAGTTCCGTTTTTGTAAACATGCACATGTGACTAACATGCAACACGCTCGCAATGGAGACAAAGTCCTTAATAGTATTCTTCTTGCGTGCCTTCAACGACGAAGCTGTGAAAGGTTCCATAACTTTGCGAAAATCTTTCGTAATCTCGACGATGTGCTCTCCAGGCAGTCCACGATGAAGTACAAAGGAATGAGGCGCATTCACCAACTCTTCCCTCTCCCCCACGTTTATTTGCTTATTTCGCTTTACACATCGACCCTGCATAAAACTCATTTTAATTAGAAAGCTAAACGATCTCTAATATTGTTTTCAGTAAATGGTAACTGTTGGATGGCATGTGTGTAAAACTTGCCACGTAAATGTTTAATAATTTTTATATTGGCGCTGCAACAATTTTACTAAGCATTTTCCTGTTACGGACTTGCATTAATTAAATAATTGCATTTCTAACAAATAAGCAGTACCTTCTTTTTACGACCCATTTTTAGGTTAGGTTAAGTTCGGATCCGAGTTCAGCACGTGGTCAAAAATCAGGAGAACTTCACGTAGATACAAATTATAGAATTGCAGAGATAATGACTTATATTTTTTATTTTTAATGTTATTCTTCTTCTTCGCTTTTCTATTGTGCTTTGGTCCACCGTTCGCGCCACGCGACTACACGACACTACACGTTGCCCACGTGTGTTGGTAATTCTGTATAAAAGGTGCAATTTCATGAACGCTTACAGAAACCAGCGGCCATCTTGATACTGGATATTTATAGTGTCTATTGTCACTTCGTGAGGCATTTTATGGCGTAAACTATCTGTATTTTGAGTTATACAAAGTTTAGCTTTTCTCAAAACTTACAATTTTAGGCATTTTTGAAATCACGACTTCCGGAAATCTCTTAGAAAATTTGTAAAATTTTACTGCTACCTTTTTTTCAGGTTATGTTGCTCTTTTGCGATTTTTCGGGAAATAATTCTCGAAAATTCAGATTCTAGGAATTGTCGGAAGTATCAATTACATTCTTGGAATTTTAGATAGTGCAACCTCTTTACTGTTCTCCTGATACTTTGCCAGTTTTCGAGATTCTCAATTTTCATGATTGAATTTATTGTTTTTCTTTCATACCCAGCTGCATGAGCAACATTCAAGTCTTTTATTAGTATTTCAACGTGTAACATACGTGCAAAGATTATGAGATGCATCACGATGAATCTTTAGATACGATGCGCGTACTTCAAATATGTACGTGTATTATTTGTGCTATTTTATACGCAATTCTCGAATCTGTACGTTTAATATAAGCAGCGCGATAATTATTACATCACATGATCTGAATTTAATATGATTTCCTGAACACGCCTTCTTCAGATAGAAAGAAAGTTTGACATCCCAAATGTTACCTTAGATTTTTACTAAATTGTATTTAATATTTCATATAATTTCTCATATATTTTACCTCATGTATTCTCATCGTCTCGAATCTTTGATTCAAACAGATCTACTCAATATCGTTTCGCTGCTATTCTTATTGACGATCGAGATGCGATTTGCATAGACAAAAAGAACGAGAAGGAATATAAGAGAGGAAGGTAATTTCGTGAAGAAGCAACTGGAGCATATACTTATACAAGGTAACGAGATAAATTAATCTTGAACCTGTAGAGTGATGGATTAAGCGGCGGCCACAATAACGAGAATTACGATAAAACACTTCCCTTCTCACTGTATTATGCATACTACGCGAGTAGCAGCGAGGAGGCGGTTGGGACGGCGAGGGAAGGAGGAGAAGGAGGAGGCAGGGAGTCAGGGAATACGCACGCAATGTACTTCATTGTCTCGAAGCGCGGGAACTCGTTAGGCAAAGCGAACTCCTCTCACGGTGCAAAGTTCACGGCTGCTTCACGGGGATCCTTATCTACCTAGCGCGTGTCTGGGCCGTCGATTTTTTTTACCATCGTCGATGTTGTATTCCGCCCGTCCTCTCAACCCCTGAACGGCCCGGCATAAATCTCTCGCATACCCAGGCGTTATCCGACGCAGTCTCTCGTTTGCGGTATCCTCCGAGCGGCGTCGAATCGATGGAACTCAAATGCTCTTTCTACATTTAAGGACGAGCCACAAGTAGAATTATCTCAGACAGTACGTGTGTCTAAGAGACGTCATAATCGAGTGAGCAGATAAATGGGTAAAATAGATGGTCACCGAATCGATCAGACACATGAGAAAACAGTTGAAAATTATAGCGAAATCATACTTTACCCAGCAAACACCAAAGTAACAGTATAATTACATCAATGTAAATGTAATATAACACGCGTGTTCCATTACATTTATATTGATGTTATGTACTTGTTACTTTGGTATTTCCTGGGTAGTATGATGGTCATATACACTTCTCCATTCGGATAAACCGCAAGCAGAATCGTCCCTAGGTGTAGAAAGAGCATTAACGATAGCCCGTAAGCGTCGTTGACTGATAAACACTTGTGCGCGGCGTCAAGGACGGAACGGTTCACGCGGGCGCAGGTGGCACGTTCGGAAATGACGTTTTAGCTCTCGAGTCGGCGCCGCGCGGATGGAACACGTTAACGTCTCTTAAGTGAAAATTAATCAGCATTTGCATCCGGGTACAGAAATACGCCTCGTGATGTACGGCGGGGGGAGTCGCTGAATCCGCGAGCGAGACAATTCCTAATCTACAATATGCTCCTCGCATCTAGAATTAACATTCCGTTTTATATAAACAAAACGCTTAAAATTAAAATTTGTACAATGTACGATTTGTACAATGTATATATACACAACTTATCAACTTGCGCGAATTTTTTAAACGTCTTTATCGGCTACAAAGTAGAATGTTTCCAGACGCAAAGAGCACACTATAGATCAGGCTTTAGGTTCATGTTGCGATTTTTTCGTGAGGATCAACCGTGAGGATCGTCCAGATGGAGAGAGAGAGAGGGGGGGGGGGAGAATAACGTAACAAAGACGCGATCTAAGAGTCTCGTTATATCGTTTTATTTCATATAATTTCTTCGTAGCTGCAAGTCGTCGCAACAATGGCAACGGCGGAAAGACGGTGGAACAGAGCCGCGTAGAGTTCATCACACAGACTTCTATATAATACTAGACTGCTAACTGCTTATGTACAAGGCGGCTGACTTTCTATGTATTAAGCGATTATATGTAGTCA